AAATAAAAAATATTAATAAACTAAAATAATATTAATACTTTACTAAATACTTGCCTTTAAAGGCTAGATTTTTGCCTATAGTTTATATAAGCTATTTTTAATAATATTTATAATTAACTATACTTAATAAGTTATAATAAATTTAAACTTTTTTATTACTAGGGTCCAGCCCCAGGGAAAATAAATTAAAAAAAACTACTTACTTATTATTATTATTATATTTAATACTTTTAAAACTAGCTTTATTAATAAGGTTATTTATTACAAGGGCTATAACATAGAATAGGGTAACTAGCCTAGCTATAATAATATTAAAGTTTATTATTATTATAATTATAAAATAGTATAGGTAATAAGCAGATTAAATAACATGCATAGGCAGGGTAATAGTATCCACTTTTTTTTTTTTTATTTTTTTATTTTTTTTTTTTTTTATAACCTTCTTAGCCTTTTTTTTTTATTTTTCTTGGCCTTTTTTTCCTTCTCTTTTTTTATTTTATTATTATTATTATTATTATTGCCTGGTATAAAAGCTAAATATATTAGCTAATATACTTATAAGTAAATAAGGGCTATAACTTATATTTATTAATATATTATATACTAAAACTATTTTAATAATAATTTATATAATTATTATTAAAGTAACTTAATATAATAATATACTTTATAAATAGCCCGTGGCCTTAAATATAATACCTATAAATTAAATTACCCTTAATAAACATGCTAATATACTACCTAATAGCAGCTTTCTAGTTAATAAGGCGGGTTATAATTTTTTTTATTATATTAACTTTATTAATAGGCTTGCAAAGCACAAGCTCGCGCTATAAATAATATAATTACTTATAAAATTTATTTAAAATTATTAATTTATGGCCTAAATAATTTATTATATTAGTAATATAGGCCGCTAGTAGCTAGATTAATAAAAAAATAGGCAAGTAAATAAAAAAGGTAATGCTATTATTACCTTTAATATTAGTTATTATAATAAAAAAAATTTAAAAAATTAGGGGTTTATAAATCACAGGTTTATATAAGCAGGCTATATATTACTTATATAATCTATTTTTTTATTATTTTTTAAACATGTTTATTAAATTTGCTATTATTACGGCTATTAAAAAAAGTGTTATTATTTAAAACAGGCTATTAATAAGAGTGTTAAATATTAAACAGGCTATTAATAATAGTATTTTTAATATTTTAGGCGGGATAAACTTTGTTCCGGCCTTGCGCATTACTCCCGGCATTAAAGCCTGCGCCCTAGAAATAACAAATTTTAAAAAAAAGGTAGTAATAAAAAAAGTAGTTATATATAAATAAATATAATATTTTAATAAAAGGAGCTACCTAGGGCACATAACCTTTTAAAAATAAAAGCTTAAAAATTATATTTAGCTAGGCTATAATAGTAAAGCTATACTTGGTGTGGCTGACTAAGCTAATAGGCGAGGGCTACAGTGGGGCGAGCAGTATACTACGCTCCGACAAGAACACTCAGTTGTTATTGATCAGATTTCTTTGTCAATAGCTTCATCATTGTTAGAAATTATCGAGACGCTTCGTCTTACAGTTGTCTTTGACTGGTTATGGTGGGAGCGACGCATCGAGTAAGGCTATGAGACGGCATTCGACGTGGATGTGTTGAATTGAGTGAAAAAGCTGCTACACCGGATACAATATGCACTGCTGGGATAGAGAGCTTCCTCCAGAGCAAGGAAAGGACGACTCAAGTAACCTAGATGCCACTCCGAATGTTGGAGCATTGATGCACCGGGACAAAGCACACTGGCCACCGGTCAGCCTCAAGGCATTCCTGCTTAAAGAGATTTTTGGCAGATGAGTACGATTGCGCGCAGGCGTACATCATCCGTCAATCGATAGATTCGTCGACTTGCTGCCTCATCTCGCGATAGGGGGATATGTGGACATGGTCGCAGCATGGAGTTCAACTCAAGTACTTTCGTCTTGTTGGTTGCGAATGGGGTACTCGAAGTGGGAAGATGCTTATCGAGTCTGCTGCTTTAGCTGCAAAGCATCATAACAGCCGATTTAACTGTATATGCCAGTTAGCATGCATTTTGAAGGTTGGGGCAGGAGTTCAAAAAAAAAAGTAATCTTTCCATGCATGTTCTGGAAATGTCATCCTGGCTCGAACAATCTTGCTGAAAGTCCCTCTCACATTATCCGATTCCAGGCTGTTGCAAGAATGGGTAGGACAATGTGGGCAGGCACGAGCGAGACCTCATAGCTCCCGATCCAGGCCGTAAGAGGTCTTCGTTTACCCGCAAGTATTCACCTGGGTGGGAGTTAGACCATTCAACGATTTTGCTGGCGTTATATGGCACTATCGCAGCGCTCTGCATCGAATAAACAGTATGAAGACGCGCAAGGGAGACATATGGCGAAGCGGGAGAGTAAAGGCAGTAGTATCCTAGTGTTAAATTATGCTCGAGCACTGTGAAGAAACTATCCACTTGAGACTTGTTTCAATCTTGAGGTGGTTGCATCCTTTAACAAAACAGCACCATGCCTTGACCAGCAGAAGCTGAGTTAGTCCAAGTCGACATTGATTCAAGTATTTAGTAGACAAGCGTGGTGTTGAATGAGGCTTGGCTTGTTTTCAGGAGTCACTGGGGGCCAGCCTTACCGTATGGGAGACAATACGACCAGCCCCGATCAGTGTCAGTCAGAAGGATCCATTGATGCTTCATGATATATTTCCTTGAGTTTGTAAATTTACCACGCCGGATATTCCACAATGGGTCCGCCACTTGTCTAGTATGCGATCTTGGACCTGTCAGTCAAAGTGCCGGTTGAAGCAAGAGCATCACATGATCCGGTGGCCTGCTCAATCTTCTTGATCGAGAGAAGTTGTCTCTGTCATCAACAAACCATCGGACGTTAACTTCTTCTCCAGACAACCATCAAAGGGCCATTTTCCGGTCATATTCCCCGAGGGTCTGATCCTGTCACTGACAGCGCTTCACAAATTCCCAGCATGTCGAGCTCGAACTCCATACCATTCATCCTCGGCTAAACGAAGCTCGAACGCGTTGAACGACCTCGTGAATCCGGGGAAGGCCGTCTCCGCATCGTCTCCAACTCTTGGCCCACCTTATCTGGATTCTGGAGAAAAGTGCTGGCAGCCTGGCAGAGGTTCAATTCATCCTCGGCATCTTCTGGTTTCCTGCCCTTGCATCTCGGCTATCAATCAGTCAGAGAGCGATTGCCGGTGAAAATTTTACGATGAGATCATAATGCTAAGCAAGTGCTAGACCGATGCTTTGTTCGGCGCCATTAGTCCCCTTCCCGCCTCCACCCCGAGAACTGGGATGATGCTAGACGGGCTATGTGCAGTCTACCGACCCCAGGTTGCTTGGTTGTTGTTAAAAGTTCCATCATCGCCTCCCATGCTCAGGGCTTCGAATATGGCGTCCATGCGGATGGGCTCTGGCCCCTGTCTTTGATGAGGGAGACGATCACATCACCAATTGAGCATGGTTCCCCAATCGCTTCTCTTTCGGCTTCTCCCATGGGCCACAAACAAGAGTTTTGTGGAGAGCCTCCCGGGCCCGAACCAATTGCGCTTATCAAAACTGCCGATCGAAAACTAGCGTGGGCGTGACCAGAATTGATAGACACAAGTGCACGAGCTTCTTCGAATCCCATAAGCACACACTTCAAGCAAAAGCAAGGAAAAGGTTGTGCCGAAACAAAATTCCCGACAGCGTTGGCCTCCGGTGACCGTTGCCCTCTTTATCACATGCATCCGAATGCAAAAAAAAGGGCGACTGTTCGACTTCGACAGTTCGACAGAGTGTGGATCAACTGAAAAGCTAATTCTTGGACAAGACAATTTGCTGTTCCCCACTCAGGCACTTTCGAATTCGGAGTTTGAACCCTCAAAGTTCAACGATCAACGACAACTGCTGGGGAAGAGACGATCAAGACGATCCAGACGGTCTTGGTTTCCAAATCTTGAGGGGAATTCTGGGTATCAGAATTAACGTTCGATCAGTCATGCACTATACCAAGAAACAAGCTTCTTCTACCATGCGCCCCCGATATGTTGCCGATTCCGACGGCCGATAGCTCGCAGGGGTTGGTAGGTAGGTATAGCAGCCGGACAAGAGTCAATAGACATTAGACACAACGCCCGATCTCAGGAGAATTGACCGTTACCCACATAAACAGGTGTGCAATATGTACTCCGTGCGGAGCGTTGTTGCCACTCTACCAATGATCGCACTGCTTTCACGAATCAATCAACTAATCGAATAGTGCGTTCCGTAGCTTAAAAGCCGCGGAGTGACGGGCTCGGTCTAGAGACGGCAATCCCTTCCCTTTTGTTGATAGGATCCAAACTAGAGCACGAGAGCTGTCGGGATCCCGCCAAACCTGCAGTCTGCCAGGCACGCTGCAACAAAGCACTCGCAATGTTTTCCCAATTGATGCTCGATGTCATCCCCGCAAGACAGCGGGAGGTACCGTGCTTCCAAGACATCATACTCAGGGCTGTTTAGACCATTTGTGACCGTGGATGATGGCTTGCCTCGAACAGCCCTCATGCTACCCGACGATCCTCACCGGGCAATAGTCGCGCACCCCCGGACCCATGGTGGCCGTCTAGATCGGTGGAAAATCCTAATATCCGCGTGCTAAAGGGGAATAAGCCCCGTAGGCCAGCTCCTCCTCGAGCATCGACGTCGATGGACAAACAGATCTAACCACATCCAGGGCGTCAGGGGCTCAAACAAGGAATTATCGACGGAAGCTACAGTACGATTGACGGGATATACCTCACTTTGCGGGGAATACCGTCCTGGTCTGGATAGTCAGGGCAAGCGGGGGCAATTGGGCCCTAATCCGCAACTCGAGTATAAAGCACCAAATTCTTCGCCGCCCCCTATTCTCAAGTTTGATCCTTCCCGCTGTCAATTGAGGACAATTCTGGACAATTCCTGTGAAACGTGGAAGGGAAGTCCAAAATGCGTTTCTCGACAATTCTCTCGGCCCTCGTGCTCTCTAGTACCGCGCTGGCAAAGCCCGCCCCCCAAGTCTCCCCATCTTCACAGGAAGGCGACCAGCCGAAGGGGCAAACTGTTGCACAGGTACCGACAGGATCAGCGCCGGAGCCCACGACGACTGTGCTTGCTGAGCCGACTGCCAACAGTTATGTTGAGCAGCAGCCTGAGGAAGATGTAAATGAGCCGCAAACGACGACGCATGCCCCTGCTGCAACGACGAGCCAGGGGAACACAGAGGAACAGGGAAGCGGCCTAGACGACGTCTTGTCCTCTGTTCTTCCTTCTCCAAGCTCCGATGATGCCGATGAAACTGCTGCTCCTCACGACACTAGCGCCGCCTCTGACGACTCTGCTCCTACCTCCGAAGCTTCAGCCCCAACAAGTGCACCAACTAAGCAGCCTACGACCACGGCCAGCAACCCCAAAGCTACCTCGACCTCCTCCGGCGACAGTGGTAACATCCTGGAAGGGCTCATTCCAGATGGGACGTCTGGAAACCCATTGACCGATTTGGGAAATGCTCTTTCCGGCATTACCGGCTTGCTCTCACCCACGCTGATCAAGGATATCGAGTCGTTCTTCCACCACGTTGCCTACTTGCTTGATGACAAGACTACCGAACAGGCCAAGTCTTTAATCAATCTCGCATCTGGTCTGCTGACCCAGAACTTGATTAACAAGCTCGAAAATCTTCTCGACAGTGCAAGCGATCTATTGACGCCGGACTTCGTGAAGGAACTCAAGCAACTGCTCAACAACGTCATTCCGCTGTTGACGCCTGATCTCTTTAAGCAGATCTCTGCGCTCTTGGAGAATGGCAACGATCTTCTGACGGCCGAATTTGTCAAGGAAGTGAATGCTCTGATTGGAAACGCCAACCACTTGTTGACAGCAGACTTCGTCAAGGAGGTCAACTCTCTTATCCAGAACGCCAATGGCATCTTGACCTCCGACTTCATGAAGGAGGTCAACGGCTTGATCGGAAACGCCAACAGCCTGTTGACTGCAGACTTCGTGAAGGAGGTCAATGGATTGATTGGAAACGCAAACAACCTATTGACCGCCGACTTTGTCAAGGAGGTCAACGCCATCCTGGTCAACGGCAACCACTTGTTGACTACAGAGTTCGTCAAGGAGGTCAACACGCTGATTGGAAACGCCAACAACCTGCTGACAGCCGAGACCGTGAAGGAGCTCCGAGCATTGCTCGAGGCTGCTGGTCCTCTCCTGACACCTGACTTGGTGCACGAACTCAGCACTCTTGTCCAGAATGCTATCAGCTTGCTGAGCGCGGACTTCGTGAAGAACACCAAGGGATTGATCAACACCGTCTCACCAGTGATCACGAAGGGCTTCCTTTCCGAAGTTACGGGTCTGGTCGGCAACGCCGGCGACCTTCTGACCCCCGAATTCGTCAACGACACCCAGGGCTTGATCGAGGCCGTCGGTCCTCTGCTCAGCCCAGCCCTCTTCAAGCATATCAGCACCCTCCTGGTCAACGCCAACGACCTGCTAACAGCCGACTTCGTCAAGGAGACCCGCAGCCTGATCGGCGCCGTCGCACCAGTCCTGACCCCCGATGTCCTCAAGGAGGTCGCCACCCTACTAGGCAACGCCAACGACCTGCTCACCAAGGACTTCGTCGACGACACGCAAGGCCTCATCGGCGCCGTGGCACCAGTCTTCACACCAGAACTCCTCAAGGAAGTCAGCGGCCTCCTCAACAACGCCAACGACCTCCTGACATCCGACTTCGTCGACGAAACCAAGGGCCTCGTCGGCAACGCCGGCGATCTGCTCACCAAGGATTTCGTCAAGGACACACGCGGCCTGATCTCCGAGCTCGGGCCCATCGTCGACGACGGCGCAATCGGCTCCCTCCTCACAAACGCAAACAACCTGCTCACGCCGAAATTCGTCAACGAGACGTCCGGCCTCATTAGCGAAATCTCGCCTGTCATCACATCTGACCTCCTGAAGGAGGTCGGCGACGTCCTGGACCACGCTAACAAGCTGCTGACTGAGAGGTTCGTCGAGGAGACACAGAACCTCATTAGCAATGTTGGCCCTGTTATCACGCCTAACCTCCTCCACAATGTGACGTTCCTGGTTGGAAACGCCACGGGTCTCCTGACGCCCAACTTTGTGAACGAGACGAAGAATCTCATTGATGAGGTTGCGCCGATTATCACGCCTGAGCTGCTAGGCCAGCTTGGTGGGTTGCTTAGCAATGCCAACGACCTGCTGTCGAGGAAGTTTGTCAATGAGACGCAGACTTTGATTGAGGATGTTTCGGAGGTAAGGGCTCGCCATATCAACCCCTAGGTCTAATACAAGAAGACATTTGCTAACTTGCTTCGTTCTAGTTGCTTCCTGCTTTGGTTCAGATCCTGGGTAACCTATGATTATGATTTCGGTTTATGTTTTCTCTTTTTTTGGGTTGATTTTCTGTTAGGCCATGAATAATGGGCGACGACTCTCCTTAACAATATGTGTATATGGATATTGGATACTTATGCTTTCTGACGTGATGGACATTGCAAATGCGTCATAATTATTAATGTTTGAGTGGACATCTAATTTTGAGTCTTGACTTGTGCCCATTTGGTGTGATTGCTGCCGCTATGTCGTAGTTCATATGGGAATATAGGTCTGTGAAAAACAACATGAGTGATTCGTGCCTTAGATGGCGCTCGTAACTTATGCTTAAGGCCATTGTTGGGGCCAAGAGAACCCTGCCAGTCCGAGTCTGAATGCAGCTCGCCGCCGGAACCCGCGGTTTGGAATGTCAACATAAAAGTGGGCCAGTGCCGACAAGCTTCATTTTGTGCTGCTTCGTAGCGCCACGCCCAAGCATATTATTCAAATCTAGCAGTCGAATTGTTTGAATGAATGGTCGCTCTAGCATCGCCGACACCCTCCTCGCCAAGCGTAGTTCTAGAGGCGTGCGATGTTTGGCGACTCGTTGCTCCCAGGTTGCTCCGTGAGGCAAGCGCGTTGTTCGGGGCCTGGCCGAGCTTCGTGACTCCAAGGCACAATGGCCCTCTCGGATACCGACATGTAATGCGTTCGTGCCGTCGGAAAACACTAGAACATAATCCTATGAAGCGCCGATTAAGGGTTCAATGCTCTTTTCCGCGAGGCAAGGAGTCGTCTTTTCCAAAGGCATCGAGGTTCCGTAGATTAGAATCACCGGGATACCCAAGCCAGAACTTAGGAGGCCGCCACGTTGATGTTCATCGTTCCGAGGCGTATACGCCATGTTTGGCGTTCTTCCCGAATCGCGTTCCCGCATATATGCTTGCCGGGTAGCCGTGGAGGTCTCACATATCCCAAACACAACCAATAATCAACGAACGGTCCTAAGCCGCCGCAAGCGCCGCGCCCTTCCCATCCTGAAACTTTTCCAGAACCTTCAACTCCGTATTGCGCTCTTTGATCTTCTTATCCATGGCCCGTTGTACCTCCTCGCGCTTCTTCTCCGCATCCTCCAGTTTCTGCTTTAGCTCGCGCGCGGCCTGTTCCTGCGCCTTGAGCGCTGCGTCGGGGGTGGGAAACTCCTTGCGCAGTTGTTCTAGCTCGGCACGCATGTGCTCGTTGTCGGTTTCCAGGGCTGCGCATGTTATTGGGTTGTATTGGTGTGGTGGGAGCGAGTCGGGGACTCGGATATCGGGGAGGAGTGGGTGGATGGGGATAGCGCGGAGGGGAGTGTCGAGGGGGATTGTAGGCGCGGTAGTGTCTGGGGACGACCTTGAGACGGGCTCAGACGGTGGTGAGAGAGGTAATTGGTCCATATTTGGGGTTGTGTTTTCTGGTAGAGAGACCTTGAATGAGGCGGTGGTTAGTCCGCTGGAGGCTGTATTCACGTGACCACCAAGTAGTATCGCGCTGTGGGGATCCACCCACCGGCTTAGTACGGGGTAGTTCGCGGCGTCGCAGACAAGACAAGATTCGCGAGGTGAATATATACTTCATGAGGGAGTGCTTTTTGATTCCGGACTAGCTCTGGATCCTCACAGTTATGCAGGCTTTCGGTATGCTCTACTGATTCGGCTTTGCGCAATTTCCTTGCCGAGCCGATGACCTCATTGCTTCACTCTGCTAACAGAAGCGCATGCAGTCCCTAAAAACAGAAGGGCAAGTCCTGTTATTTGCATGCGATCGGAGAGATGATAACGATTCTATAGCCTAGGTTCGAGCTGGTCCTCCGAGTGAGCCTCTCTACGTCCCGATTGTGACCCGTTCGACGCTGACCCGTTGGTTGAACCCAGATTATCGACCTCAATAATATTCCTCTCGTTAGCGGAACAGCGTACATCAAATGGCGGCTACCTTCCTCGAATGCGAACGAACATCATGGTGCAACTGATAAGGCGCTCATCCTCGATCATAAAGCGTCGTGGAATTACGAAAAGACGCTGCAAGTGAGAATCACTATCGATCGCGACCAAACCCTTCACGAATGCGATATCCAATTCGATGTCATACAGGAGTTCTCTTCCGGAGGTCATGCGGAGAAGAACTTACTTGGACGGGTGAAACTCAATCTTTCCGAGTATGTGGACAAAAGCGACGACGATGAAGGTATAATCCGACGGTACTTGATGCAGGATAGCAAGATAAACAGCACACTTAAGATCGGGATAGCCCTGCAGCAGATGGAAGGAGACAGGAACTTCACAACGTGCGTTTCTGCGCCTATTGGCATCTTCCTTGGTACCGTTACTGATGCTCTATAGTCCGCCTTTGAAATCTGCGATGGCTTTTGGCGGCATTGCAGGAGTCGTGGCTTCCGAGCAGGCCGAGGCCGATGACTCGGGCCAGATACCATTGATCAACACCCAAAGTAGAGAAGTTGCTGATATGCAAGAAATGTACCGACGTACGCTGGCGGCTTCCTGGACGTCTCGCGCGGATGACATGCCTGCCGATAAACTCATTGAAGGATTATTCTCAGGGAGCTTTGGTCGAGCCGATCCGCGCGATCCCGATTCAGGGCATGCAGCTGAGGGCTTTTATGATGGCCGTTCAAATAGCGGTGCAGGCGCCGCTGGGCAGAGTGGGTCACGCAACCTTCTATCTCCGACTTTCGAGCGGCGGGCAAGGAGCACGAGTCGGCATTCCAATGCAAACAAAGCGCTGGACTTCTCGCCAACAATTGAACATGGGAAAAGCGGGAGTATCGAACGGCAGCTCTATGACAATGCCAAGGGGAAGAGCTGGAGAAGTCGTAATACTGAACATGAGCTGTCGGAGTTTGATGTCCGTGAAGACTTGCGGAGCTGGGAGGTTAATATCAAACAATGATAATGAAGCTTACCATTTCCAAAACTTCTTGTGTAAACGCTTGATTCTAACCTGTTCTCGAGTATCGAGACTTAGGTACACCTTCTGGCCTGCGTAAAATGAAGATCCACCTGTCCTGGTAGTCATGTACCGGCTACGGCCATGGTCTATAGTATTTTATATAGTACAGTACAGAGAGGTACAAAGTTATATTCTATGCATATTAACTACTTCATATTATTTAAATGCTTTGGGCCATGGCCAGTTTATAGTAGTTACTTTATCTTATACATGGTCAATAAAATATGTTGCTTATCAGATGGATACTCCAACGGGTGGAGGTACTCCAGGTTAAAGTTGTTATCGATAAGTAATTCTGCGCTACACCTATCCTGTGCTAGCGCATTTATTTTCACTGAAAGCTTCAGCTGTCCACAGAACTCCGTCTAGAGCCCTAGACAAGGCCGACCTAATGTTCTCTCAATCATACAAGCAGGCTGGAGGCCTTTTAAACAGTCAGCTAATCTCAACATGCCGTCGAAGCGCAGCATGTGTCGCGTCACCTCAGCGTGATGTTCAAATCCGATACCAGAATACCGCCAGCGACGCCAGCGACTCCAACGACGCCAATGACTCCGGTGACAACAGCAGCAACCGCCGCAGCAACCGCCCTGACAGCGAAGATCTCGGTAGCAGCCCGGAGTCTAGGTATAGGTCATTGAAAAGTTCGCGGATGATAAAGAAACGCACGCATCAGCTTGATGTTACTGCACTGGGTAAGCCGGGTGAAGTCCTTCTCGTGCAGGCGCCAAAAGAGCGACGCCGTATACCTCGTGGGCAGCTACCCACAGAGGACACAAATGACCTGCCGCTCATGTTGCACGATTTGTTACAAGATCCAGCCCAAATTGATAGCACGGTGGTCGGCGAACGAATCGAGCGCCTTCGCGAGTCTTATCGGCCACAGGACCGACTCGCCCCGGACGCTTGGGAAGATATCCGAAGCAGTCTTCGGAAATCCTTTACCATTCCACAGCTGTCGGAGTATGTGTCCAGGACATTGAAGACAAAGGAAACTGGTCCTGAAGGAAACCTCACGCTCAATGGAGATATGAAATTCGGGACATGGAAACCGGGGACGTCGCATTTCCTAGAGACGGGGAAGGGTAACCAACAAAGAGTTGCCGATAGGGTTGCTGCCAACCAAAATATTAAGAATAAAGACCTTCTAGTTGAGCTCGTTCTTCGGGATTGCTGGGAGCTTGGGCTTGTGAATGATGTTGGACAGCTCGACATTCAGATTCCTGCGCATTTGCTGTCTCTGCTCATAGGTTCCGAGTTCTTCTCGTTTGAAGAACTGGCTAGCCTCAACGGAACAACAATTGATGTTACGAAATCACTGGGCCTTGTCCGGGTGACGGGGAAACAACGGGCCTGCGAATCTGTCCGTGAAATCATACACGACTACACAAACCGGATACAGTCAAGAGAACTCAACCTCCTTCCCCCAGGTGATCCGAGAACCAAAACCGTTGTCCAGGCTCTTAACCATGATTTCCTATCATGGGTTGAAAAGACGTATAAGGTGTCATTTGAACGGAGTCCATCGCAAATTCCAACCCGGTTATATCTCCTAGCCGAGAACAAAGCCAATGCAGACGATGCGCGAAGAACTTTGAATTTAGCAGTCAACAAAGCCACATCGTGGTCTGTACCATTCAGCACATATCAGCCTGCTTCCTACATGACTGGGTTGAGACAAAACCCTGCACCATGGCATGATACACACCAGCGGAATTGGTATCGATGGAGAATCCCACACGCAGAAATAAGATCCGTACGCCAGTCTGGGCATCTCATTGAGAGGCATAGTTCTGGTCTCTCGGATGAGCTCGGGAAATTTCTACGGCAAGCACCTGCAAAACGAGCGTCAGGTCTAGAGGTCCACGAATCCATAACAGCAACAGTTGGCAAATCCCTCTTTGCATCTGAGTCAATCCATCAGAGAATGCAATATAGCGCCCTTCAATTAGGACAGATGTCTCCTGCACGGACTTTTGTCAAAGATCACCCTCGCGGACGACTGTTCCTTCGCAAAATGGAGCCCTGGCGCGTCGACCAACGAGTACGCTCCCATCGTATCCGACTTGTGCCCTCCGCTTTTTACGGAGAAGTTTTCCCTCCACTTGAGCTGGATTTTACCACTCGTGGCGGCGAATGTGACCTCCGCAGTGTCAAAGCTGTCTTGGCGGAAAGCAAGGTCGACTATCTACTTCCAGAAAGCGCTGTGGACCTTCGGTTCACAAGAAAGCTTACCCACGAGCTCATAACCCGGGCCCAGAAAATCCCATGCGTGGACTCTCTTCTTGAAGACTTACGCGATTGTTTTCATAAGAGCGTGACCAGCAACAACGAGGTTCCCCTACCAGTGTTCAGGTCAATCACTCTGCCAAACAACCTTTTGCGGCATGCTGGGGAGGAAACAGATTCAGATGGGTGGACTACGGCAGAATACTTGTATCCATCGGTGAAGGATATCCAGATGACAGCTGTCAGCATGTATCGCTATGATGACACCGCCGCTCGTCTTTTCTACGCTGAATACGAAAGCGGACCGGGCGGCGCAGGTACGACCACAGATCTCTTTGTCGAACTCAACTCGGTCGATCTCAACGCCAAAAACGCCGGGACTTTAGACTCGGACATCTCGCCTCAGATCAGTCAAGAGGATTTTGACACTTTTTGCCTCTCAGCCTGCGGTGTCGTGACTGAACTAGATTCTCGCATAAATACTGCGTAAGGCGCGCATATCCCGTGAATATACGACAGTTTAGTTTACTGTGGGAATGTACTATATTGACGTGAATGTATATATATTTTGTATGATAATGCATATATGGGATAAATATAACAGTATTAAAAATATATATGGATGTCTCTGCTACATTGAAATTACAGAATCTGCTGTCAACGGGTAGATATATTACTTTGTTTACACACAACTAGACCATTGATAGTCGCTACTAATTAGTCTTTAGATTATTATTCCAACAATGCCCAGTCTGCCTGTAGCCTTGTACAGACTCACGGAGTAAGGAACTTGGGGTGTCCCTTGACGTAGCCGCCCTTTCAGGCTTTCTTGGCTTCCGTGGCGGGGCCGGAGTCCGTGCATCTTTTGCTCCTACCTGGCCACGGTCTTAACACCAAAATAATTCTATTTGTGTTGACATAACCTTTTTTTGAAAACACGCTATCCTTATGAAACTTCCCTTTTGACACATTACCTCCTATTTGAGTATCACTGGCCAATCCGGCTCCCGCGCACATCAGCCATGAAGGCTAGGCCAACCAGTCAGTGATAAGGCATGGAGAAAACACGGGTTGCTAAGGTATCCCAACACGTCCAACTGCAAGAACAAAGTTATCAAATGGTATTTTATGACTCCGGCTAATTCTCTATTTCTCCAGGTTGAAGATGTGACCTTAGCACGCCGTGGAGAACAAGTTGTTGGCACCCTTCATCTAACCCCGCACCATATTATCTTCTCCGCGATCCCTCCACAGCCCGACAATGTCCACGCGCAGGGTACGCCCATTAGACCCAAGGAGATCTGGATAACATACCCCATCATTGCGTTCTGTACCTTCCGCCCGACACCCGCCGTATCCCGCCAGCCGTCGTCGATCCGCTTAAGATGTCGGGATTTCAACTTCGTGTGCTTCTACTTCTCAAACGAGAGTAAGGCTAGAGATGTATATGAGAGCATAAAGTCGTGGACCTGCAAGATTGGGCGTGTGGATAGACTCTACGCCTTCACTTTCCAGCCGCCTCCCCCGGAGCAAAAGTTCAATGGTTGGGAGCTTTATGATGCCGGCAAAGAGCTGGCGCGTCAAGGTGTTGATCGTGATGGCCACGGTTGGCGTATATCGCAGATGAACTCTGATTATGGGGTATGTGCATCGCAGACATTGTCGTATCATTGGCTGACATATTTTTAGTTCTCTCCAACTTACCCTGCCCTGTTTGCTGTGCCTACTAGTATATCAGACAATACACTCAATTACGCCGGACGATATCGATCACGCGTGCGCATACCGGTGCTGACATATCTCCACCCAGTCAACAATTGTTCAATCACAAGAAGCTCCCAGCCGCTTGTGGGTTTCCGTGGAAACCGAAGCATCCAGGACGAGAAGCTGCTGGCGGCCATCTTTGGGACAACGAGGTCAGAAAGACCGCTTGCGAACGTCACACCGCCGAACTTAGAACATGAAACCTCGACATCCACCCAAAATGAACTATCCGGTAGCCAGAGCTGGCCGGACGTCACGAATGCCGAAGAGTTAGAAGCCGAGCTTGTATCGTCGTTTGATGAAGAGACGCAAGGGAGACCTCATATATATGGTGCGCAGCAGCATAACCTAATCGTTGACGCACGTCCTACTGTCAACGCACTCGCCATGCAGGCCGTTGGCCTTGGTTCGGAAAATATGGACAACTACCGGTTTGCGACGAAGGTGTATCTTGGAATTGATAACATTCACGTGATGAGGGATTCTCTAAACAAGGTGATAGAGACGCTCAAAGACTCTGACCTCACCCCGCTTGGTCCAAACAGGGATCAGCTGGCAAAAAGTGGCTGGCTAAAGCATATTGCAGGTATTCTGGACGGGGCCGGTCTGATTGCTCGTCAGGTTGGCCTTCAGCACTCGCATGTGCTGATTCACTGTTCGGATGGATGGGATCGCACAAGCCAGCTTAGTGCGTTAAGTCAGCTCTGTCTAGATCCGTACTACCGTACTCTGGAGGGGTTTATGGTCTTGGTCGAAAAAGACTGGCTTTCTTTCGGTCACATGTTTCGTCATAGGGCAGGGCACTTGAACAGTGACAAATGGTTCCAAATCGAGAACGAACGAATCGGCGGTGACGCCGGGCGGAGCTTTGGTGAGAGCGGCGGCGCTGGCAAGGCCATCGAAAATGCATTCCTTAGCGCCAAAGGCTTCTTCAACCGGGATAACGCTAGCCGTGACTCGCTGGGCGATTCTGATGGAGAGTTACGGGATTATGATTCAGACAGTCCCAATGCGAAAAAGCCCAGTCCGACGCCCAGGACTGTTGTCACCGAAAAGGAAATCACCAAACCCAAGGAGACGAGTCCTGTTTTCCACCAGTTTCTCGACGCAACCTATCAATTACTCTACCAGTATCCGTTCCGCTTTGAGTTCAACGAGCGATTTTTGCGACGACTACTATACCACCTATACTCGTGTCAGTACGGCACATTCCTGTTCAACAGCGAGAAGGAGCGTATGGAAATAAAGGCTAAGGAAAGGACACGCAGTGTCTGGGACTATTTCCTTGCCCGAAGAGAACTGTTCACGAACCCTAAGTACGACCCCGAAATCGACGACAATAAGCGGGGCAAGGAGCGGTTGATCTTCCCACGTGTCGACGAAGTGAGATGGTGGAGTGAAGCCTTTGGACGATCAGATGCAGAAATGAATGGTGGTCGCATGTCCAGCAACCTCCAGCCGAAATCTCGTGAGACTTCAGAGACAGAGCACACCCCTGTTCTTACGGGCCTTGAGTCCGCCAATCATGCTATCGGCAGCGGCGTACCTGCCGCTCGCAGTCCGTCACCGCCAAAGAAGACAACCGAAGTGACTTCTGGAATCTCGAGCTTATCTTTATCATCAAACAAGGATAACAACGGCGACCGGGAGAGCATGAGCCAAATGGAGGTTGAGCTCCAATAAACGGCCATGCATATCGAACGGCGCAGGAATCGTCCATGAGTAATAAGGACAGTTCTTCGTTGGCATGTGATTACGCTGGTGCTGTGGGCGCCATCCAGTCTGAAAATATCATTGAAAGAAGTTCATATTAGCGACAGTCCGCATAGGATTACTTTGTTTTGTCCAGGTTTCTGGCCTACATTAGCTTGCTGTTTGTAGAAATACGTGATGCTCTCCTCGATGGCTGACTGTCTATGATTACGCGAAATATTATGGAAGCCTTTGGGCTAGAAAGCGAGCGTGATGGTATTTCTAATCATTGTTTTTATTCGATGTAGAGTAGACCATGGCCGAAGTATACAACTGCTGCCTGAGTGCCTGAAGCTCGGACGTCTTGGCAGACCTTGAACAAGGAAAGCGCGGGCGGAGAGCAAGCGAGGGTTTGCCCTATCCCGAATAGGAAGGCAAAGCCCTACCATTCAATTTTCCCCACTACCGCCGAACTTCTCAAAACTGACCTGAACCTCGAGCGACTTCCCAACCTTGGTGCACCGCCTATCACCGCGTCCTCGGCCGTTTCTTCGACAACTAATAAATCAGCAGAATCGCAAACATGGCTGCTGTCCAGGGAGCTATTTCGAAGCGCAGAAAGTTCGTCGCCGACGGTGTCTTCTATGCCGAGTTGAACGAGTTCTTCCAGCGCGAGCTGGCTGAGGAGGGATACTCCGGTGTCGAAGTCCGTGTCACTCCCACCGTCACCGACATCAGTACGTTCGCCCGATCCTACAATGATTTTCCCGCGATGCTTCGGGTGGAAGGAGCAAGAGGAGGAGCAATCGGAATTGGAATGGAGGAAAATGAAAAAGCGATGGGATGATGGAGGAATGCGAAGAGAAAGAATTGTGAATGCTAACGGAGGCTTTTGTTTTTCATAGTCATCCGTGCCACCCACACCCAGGAGGTTCTCGGAGAGCAGGGTCGCCGCATCCGTGAGCTCACCTCTCTCATCCAGAAGCGCTTCAAGTTCCCCGAGAACTCCGTCTCCCTCTATGCCGCCAAGGTCCAGAACCGCGGTCTCTCCGCTGTCGCTCAGTGCGAGTCCCTCCGCTACAAGCTCCTCAACGGTCTGGCCGTTCGTCGTGCCTGCTACGGTGTCCTCCGCTTCATCATGGAGTCCGGTGCCAAGGGTTGTGAGGTTGTCGTTTCCGGAAAGCTCCGTGCTGCCCGTGCCAAGTCCATGAAGTTCACTGTACGTTCTATACGAATTTTCTCCGGATACCAGTGGGAAGGCGGATTTCGAATGAAGATGTGAAGCGATATGCAAGCGCGGAGGATACATTCGGAATCGGCGGTTTCCACTGGGTCAATGGTGCGCCAAACAGCTCACTAACGTCTGTTTTCTGCTTAGGACGGCTTCATGATCCACTCCGGTCAGCCCGCTAAGGAGTTCATCGACTCCGCCACCCGTCACGTTCTCCTCCGCCAGGGTGTCCTTGGTATCAAGGTCAAGATCATGCGCGGCTCCGACCCCGAGGGCAAGGCCGGTCCTCAGAAGACCCTCCCCGACTCCGTCACCATCATCGAGCCCAAGGAGGAGCAGCCCGTTCTCCAGCCCGTCAGCCAGGACTACGGTGCCAAGGCCATCGCCGCCCAGCAGGCTGCTGAGCAGCAGCGTCTGGCTGAGCAGCAGGCCGCGGAAGGCCAGGAGGGCGGTGCCACTGAGACTTTCGCTCAGGAGTAATTTGGTCATTTCTTCGTTCCTGTCATCTACCCTATTTCCATGATCCAAAAATAAAGACTCTATGAACCTTCAAACCTTTTTCTTGCGGTGCTGAAAGCGTTGATATTATATGCATAATGAAATACTTCAAGCATCGACCATGGCCTGATGATATCTGTCAGAATCACGTGGAGACAGTCTTTGTAAAACATCTTAAGGTCCATCTGGGGAAATGAATCAAAGGAACAGGGTCTTCTTCGTTCTAGAACATCTTGTTCCCCAGATAGTTGTGGGTGCTGGCGGGATCGCTCCCTTCTATACCGAGATATATACTCTTGAGATCCAATGGGATTTACCAACGCCATAGTCGCATAGTACCAGCTGCCACTATATATTTAAACACAGGATTCTGGAAACATGTGCGAACTAAACGGGTAATCTTTGCTTTTTATTCGTCTTGTTATAGTCGAAGTATCGAGCGAACAAGATAAGGTATATGTCATCTATACAATTCTAAATCACCGGTTCCCGCAAAGGTCCTTCACAAGAAGGTCTCGATGTTAATCTCCAGCGTGCTGACGGGGTATTTCAGGCCGTAGTTCTCCAGCACGGTGGGGTGCAGGATACCAAAGGTACCGATGGTGTGGTCCTTTCCAGCGATGCGGACGTGGATGGAGGCAGAGTGGCCGTGGAAGTAGGTTGGGTCTGTAACGTCATGTCAGTGATTAGTTGAGATTGTGGAAAGATTGGAGCTTACCGTCAAGCTCTTCGATCCAGTAGTGCGAGTCCTTGACTGCGGCGTTCTCCAGGCCCTCCTCGCCAATGATGAAGGCGGTCTTCAGCATTGACATGACGCGGTCGAGCAGACCGTGTACGACTTCGAAACCGCTGGTCTTGCTGTACCACGCGGCAGCGAAATGCCTCTCGTTTCGGCTCTTGCGCTCCATCGAAAGATCCTTAAAAGCGACGTCGCTGACTTCGAAGATCTTCATTGGGACGGTGTGGTGCTTGTTCTCGCGGATGGTCTTCAGGAGACCGGGGAGCAGGCTGGTGCGCACGACCTGGAACTCTTGGGTCTTGGGGTTCGCCAGCTTGACGGCGGTGTTACCGTCATCCTTGCGGTTGAGCCAGGAGAAGTTCTCATCGTGAGAGCACAAGATCAGAGGCAGCACCTCGGACCAGCCTGCCATTGCGGCCTCTGTGCGGACAATGTCGGAAAGCTTGTTGATGGGGAGGGGCTGGGCAACGGTGCCCGACTTGCTGGGGAAAGATCTCGGAAGATTGTTGAAACCGTAGGCGATAGCAACATCCTCCATAATGTCCGCCTGATGAAGAATGTCCGCTCGGGTTGGAGGAATGTGAACGTCAATGAGATCAGGAGAAGTCGTAGAAGGTGCCGCTTCGTATGCCATCTTCGTGAGGAGTCTGCAAATCTCCTCCGCAGAGAGTTGCAAGCCGCAGCATTGGTTGATGTAGGACACTTCGGCCTGCGTAGTTCGAGGCGCAATGTCGGGAGTTATCCGAGTCTCACCGTTGTGCTCAGAGACAATCTGAACAGGCTCGACCCTAATCATTGTTAGATTGGCTGTTTGACCATTTGACGAAATGAGCATGGATGAAGTCTTACGTGAAGGGTTCGGATGTGTACTCAGAGAACATGGAAACCATGATCTTGTTCACAATCTCCACCTTCGTCTTATCAAGCGCGGTGATCTCAATGAAGACATTCTTGGTGTCCAGGGTGATCTTCGAGTGGTCACTGTTGATGATAGGCGGAAGGGAGCAGACGGTTCTATTGGCGTCGTAGATGACTGGGTAAACAGGAGAGTCGCGGATGATGTGAAGGTATCTGCCCAAATTTTTGTCTTTCTGTGGGAATCATCAGCATCCGCACAAGCATACACGAGTAACGAGTCGTACATCGTAGAAAGCCATAAGCTCCTCGCCGTTCATCTCCTTTGTTTGGTTGAGAGGCACAAAGCGGATGTCCTTGGGCGCTTGCGCTTCATAGGTGAAAGGTCCCTTGATAGTGTCCAAGTCATGGGTACCAATGGAGACGAGCGTCCTTTGCCTCGCCAGGTTCTGGTGCAGCTTGTCTTGCAGAGCGATGAAGGATTCGTATCGCGCCTTATCAAAGGTGATGTTTCGGAGGATAGCACCGGACACAAGGGGTCTAATCTTCGTGGTCTAAATGCGACTTTTAGCGAATGAAACCTTTCCAGAAGATTGATGGATCACCCACGCTTTCCTTGACAATGATTTTCTGGAGCTCTCCACTCGGAGGCTCAACTAGTCTGTACTTAGGAAGAGGCTTCCGTTCCAGGAAGATGTTGAGCATGAGGGCAATACCCTCGAAGCACAGCAAGTCATATCTGGAAACGGCCACTTAGTATAGCCCGTCTATATGTTCGAAGATGTTGTGCATACCGGTTGGCGGGGATCTCAATCTTGAGCTGAGGCGGTTCCTGTACGCCATCGACGATCGGCCGTTCCGAGTTTGTTGTCTAGTTTGTTTAGCGGCAGAGATCGGGGGCGCAAAGGTATAGCGGGGGTTTACATCTTCGTCAAGCTCAATACCTATGATTTAACATGGTCAGCGGACGCCTCATCGGAGTAGAAGTAATGCGGAAGGGTACAAACCGAATTCGAAGCACAATTCATCGAATTCCTCAGTGGTGTATCTGGTTAATTCGGTCAGAGATAATATGTGATTTGAATCCGTACAGTCGCACGTACTCTCTGCCCAGCGCTTGGAAGAGCGCGGCCTTGTCGACCGAAATGGTAGGCATGGTGGGAGGGGTATTGTAGTAGCGCTTGCGAGGGTGTAGATAACTCGCACAACGTAAACTGGGATTTGGGCAATATAATCGGAGGATGCTCCAAGCTTAGGCAGGAAAGATACCTGAGATCGGCCCGCGGCTGGGTTCAATTGTCGGAGGACGGAGTCATACAAATTTGACCATGGAGCACCGCCACAGGAAAGCAACCCCTCCATGTCCATGAACCACCAAAAGGCGGTCGGCCCACCAGCCACAGTCCATGCTCTGCAAGCTGGAAACGAACCAACAAGTCGTCACCCGTCTCTCACAACAATATCCATCCAGAATCCCGCTCTTCGCTCCCAATATTCCACCCTTAGCGGCATTGCTTCTCATACCCTCTCTGACCTAGAGTCTCTCTAATTTGATGATTCACTGAGGTTGGTTCCCGCCTTGCTCTCATCAATCCCGACTTGGTTCCTCGAGGCTCCTGCGGCGGCCCAAACCCCTCGCCCGGGGGACCTTTGTCCAATGCCCACTCTTTTGCTCCCACCACCTGAAGCTCAACAACTTAGGCTAATTCGGACCTGTCCAGGTGCTCAACTTGCTCTCGTCCTTGTGCAATAGACCCTCGTTCCTTAACCCGCCCGAGGAGGAAAAGTCGATCGCTGTTGTTCGCGTGATATCAATTGTCTAGGAAGGACTCGGACTCCGGTCACGTCCTCGCTCTCTGCTTATTTCCTTAATTCAAAAAATACATCATACTATAACAATACAGCCGCGATGGAGGGTCAGGGAGAAAATGACGAGCTCTACCCTATCGCTGTTCTTATCGATGAGCTAAAGGTATCAACCTTCATACTGGCTACCGCATCTCCTACGGTCAAGATCTGTCGCCCTGACTGATCGCATCTCCTAGCACGATGATGTCCTCCTCCGCCTCAATGCAATTCACCGCCTCTCAACTATTGCATTAGCTCTGGGGCCCGAACGGACCCGTGATGAGCTGGTCCCTTTCCTCGATGGTTAGTGAATCATGGATGGAAACCAGATTTTTGTTAGGAGCACCGTGTTAACTTCTGCGATTCAGACTCTGTCGAGGACGAAGATGAAGTTTTGACCGCATTAAGCGAAGAACTCGGTTCGTTCTTAGAGTATGTCGGTGGCCCGGAATATGGCCACGTTCTACTCTCCCCTCTGGAGAATCTAGCGGCCATCGAAGAGCCGCTGGTCAGAGAAAAGGCAAGTTGAAGCAAATCGGTAACGTCTTTCCTGTGTTTTTATTAACCCGATCTAGGCTGTTGAGTCCCTCAACAAGATCGGCGAGCAGCTCTCCGAAAAGCAGATCGAAGAATATTTTGTCCCAATGGTACAGCGCTTGTCGAAAGCCGACTGGTTCACTTCGAAAGTGTCTGCGACGGGCCTTTACTGCGTTCCTTATAAGAAATCCTCCTCTTCCCTGCAACAGACCTTGCGCCAATTTTTCGCCGGCCTCGTACGCGATGAAACCCCAATGGTTAGACGTTCAGCAGGCAACAATCTCGCGAAGTTCGTGAAGGAGATGACGACTCCGATTGTCATCGATGAAATGATACCCCTCTTCCAATACTTGGCTGGTGATGACCAGGACAGCGTGCGTCTACTCACTGTGGATATCCTCATTGCCATTGCGGAAGAAATACCCAAGGAGCAGCAACCCAGCCACGGCGTGCTGTTGACATCCTTGCGGAGTCTGTTCGAAGATAAGAGCTGGAGGGTCAGATACATGGTCGCCGACAGATATGAGAAGGTATTCCGCGGATTGCCCGGTCAAGCCGTTGCTTGAACTATTCTGACTGTCTGTATAGATTGCCAAAGCCGTGCATGAAGAAGTTGTTACCCGAGACATGGTGCCATCATTCGTTAAACTTCTCAAAGATACCGAGGCCGAAGTCCGCACTGCTGTTGCCGGACAGATCCCAGGTACGTTCGCGTATCACCCAACCGAGGCATCGACCAGGGTTACTAAATGCTACAGGATTCTGTTCCTTGATTGACCGGGAAACCTTGCTTAATGAGATCATGACCAGCGTGGAAGATCTTGTCTCAGATCCGTCTCAACATGTGCGTGCGGCCCTGGGAACCCAAATTAGTGGGCTTGCGCCTATTCTTGGGAAGGAAGAGTAAGTGCCAAAGGCTCATTACCCGTGCTTTCTACGAAAAATGCTTACATTTCCGTTGCAGGACCATCTCCCATCTTCTGCCCATGTTCCTCCAGATGCTCAAAGATGAGTTCCCAGATGTGCGACTCCACATCATCTCTAAGCTAGAGTTGGTTAACAATGGTATGTCACCAGCAAGCTTCTCAGCATGTATGGATTCTAACAAACACAGTTATCGGCATCGAACTCCTATCTCAATCCCTTCTTCCCGCCATCGTACAATTGGCTGAAGACAAGCAATGGCGAGTCCGTCTAGCCATTATTGAATACATTCCTCTCCTTGCCAGCCAGCTGGGTGTGAACTTCTTCGACGAACAACTCAGCGATCTCTGCATGGGCTGGCTTGGTGACACTGTTTTCTCTATCCGAGAGGCTGCCACGCAAAACCTGAGGAAGTTGACGGAGGTATTCGGTGTTGACTGGGCCAAGGGGTCCATCATTCCAAAAGTCATGGCCATGGGCCAACATCCTAACTACCTCTACAGAATGACGACGTGTTTCGCGATCTCTGTACGCAAATTAGCCTCTTATCTGTGAACCTCTGCTGATCATTTTCCCAGACGCTAGCGCCCGTTGTTACTTTGGAAATCATCGAAAACTCAGTGCTCCCCATCCTTGAGCGACTTACTTCAGACGATATTCCCAACATTCGGTTCAATGTCGCCAAGTCATATGCCGTCCTGATCGACACACTGCGACGACTTCCCGCTCAAGGCACCCTGGCCGAGCTTGAGAAGGAGGGCAAGACCGAGGCTCCTTCGCCCAAGGGTCAAGAGCTTATCCAGCAGAGTGTTCTCCCAAGCCTGGAGAAACTCCAAGCCGATGATGACGTTGATGTTCGGTACTTTGCAACAACTGCCGCTGGCGGCCACGAGGAGGTTATGCAAACCTCACCGTAGGTTTAATGACCAACTTCTTGGAGGCCCTTGTTCTGCAGTTCTGTAAAGCACCTTACTAAGTGTGAGCGAAAGAAGAAAATAGGGCGCTCATACCTTGGGAGGATTGTCAATTTAGTCAACTTAGAAGTAGTCAGGGCAACTGACTGGGATGAGACTCTCATGGCGTTCTCGATGTAGATTCTTTTGGTCCTTTTAATTAATTCATGAATAAACCAAGCTTATCATGGCTCGTAGTTCAAAATATCATGTGATTTGCACTACAATCTCCGAATTATTAATTGCGCCTTTTTAACTTGACCATGGACGAATTGTATTTCGACCCTTTTTTTTGCATACAGAATTACAGATCAGAAAAACGCTTTTCCACATGTCTTCTTCGTGGCCGTGGCATTTTGTCGTGGTCTCGGACGCGGAAAAGCAACACCGTCGCGAGCTTCTCACTCTTCGGGGATATTATGCGCAATTGTCGATTCTCTTTGCAATCGTTCTTTTCCGACTCTACGTTGCGCACTTCTCCGAGGGCAAGCAACGCCAGCAACCCAACAGGCTCCCCCGGCCGAAAACATGGCTGGACGCGCCACTGTTCAACGGATGGTTTGAAACGCGACGGCAGTACCTCATGTGCCTGATCTGGCTTACTTGGTTGCTTAGTCTGTCTATATGGAGCACAGGCGATGGTAAGTCGATAGAAAACTGTCCGCAAGATACTGGCGCTAATCGTTTTGTAATCAGATTATCTCCATCTAACCAAGGCGTTAGGCCACGTTGGCCTGTCTCAGTTGCCACTACAGGTGGCCATGTCACCGGCTTTCTATGTGACCTCGACACCAAGAGCATCATCCTTGCTATCAGTTCTAACTACCATTCCGCAACCGACTGTGACAGCTTACCACCGTCTCTTTGCTCGCACGGTCATCTCCCCATTACTCGTCGGACACGCCATCTTGTACTGCCTGTTCTTCCTGCAGTCAAGTCACCCTAACTTCAGCTCTCTGTTCGCGAAGCGGATCCTTGACTTGGATGTCCAATTGGGCATTCTCGCATTGGCGACAGCGGTTGCGGTCGTGGTCTTTGCGCGACCGATGGGGAAAACAGGGGGGATATGGAAGGGCACCATTACAGACGGACGGCGCGCTTTTTATGCGGCGCACCTCATCCTGGTGGGCTTTCTGTGTCTTGCGGCGTTTTTCCATGTTGCTCAGGCCAAGGCGTTTGTGCTTGAGTCATTAGTGGTTTTTGTTGTGAACTTGGGGTGCTGTTATATGACGGCAAAGTAGAGGTCAAACAAACAGCGTTGTTAGATTTAGATTATGTGAGGTGTGTAAGGCGTGATTAGCAAATGCGAACAGCTGCTTTGGTCATCTGAAATGAGTATACGGACTTTGCTTCCCGTTGTTCTTCAATCTTGTGGTTTCTGAGATCCGACGCGCAAGAGAAAATTACGTACTCTGATGGCGAGCTAAATGGCCAGACTAAGACCCCCGGCCATGGGTGAGATGAGAAGATTCGTAGTACTTGAGCCCAGAATCATGACAGCTTTGAGATAAATGAACTCAATGTAAATAAAGCTATGGAATAGCTTTAGAATAAATAGATTCTATTGGCTGGTAACTGAAAAGAGGCGCCTAGCGCGATTAAATTGCATCACACGTGGGGAAATGTTTATGTTATTGATGTTTGGCCTGGCAACCAACTCACCTCGACTCTCGAGCGCTTCAATAAGTTTGATACTTTCTTGTACATATCTTCATATTCTTTATGTCAGAGTTTGACTCTCTATGGCAGCACGATCTCACCGGCTTTTGGGCTTGCTGGTGACAGGTCTCCTCGTCTGCCTCTCACTTGTCCTCCTTGAAAGCCCAAATTCCTTCAGCAAGAATGTCGCTCCACTCCAACCATCTGCCCCTCCTTCCACGTTACCAGAACTGATCGAGCCTCCGACTGGTCCGACCGATCACTATCCAAGCGACGTGCACCCGATAACAGCGCTCGTCGAAGATGCAGAGCAACAATTTAGCCAGCTCCTGGGGCGCCAATCCAGGACGCTGAGCGATGCCGTCAAGGAATACCGCCGGCGCTACAACATGCACCCCCCGCCGCACTTTGACAAATGGTTCAAGCTCGCTCAGTCCAAAGGCGTCGAGTTGATTGACGAATACGACACCATCTACCACATATTGCTACCATTCTGGGCCCTTTCACCGCAAACCATCCGCGCCCGCGCTAGGGAGGCTCTTGGGTATGATAATGGCTTGTTTGGGGTTCTTATCAGAGACGGAAAGGTGTCACTGGCCGAAGGGCTCGATGATGAACACGAGTGGCAGCGCGAGGCTACGCTCAGCATGGTCAAGGACTTTGTTCGGTATTTGCCGGACATGGACCTGGCTTTCAACGCCCACGATGAGCCTCGCGTTATTGTGCCGAGTGAAGACCTTCAAAGGCTGGTCGCAATAGCCAAGGACAGCGCCATCCCGAATGCGTTTCAGGCAAGATCCTTGGTAAACGCATGGTCGGCTCGGCCCGAGGACCTGAACAAGGGTGACCGCATTGATGAAGTGCGGACAACTCGCTTCAATAAAATGTCTCATCAACCTGCCTGGACCAGCTCGAGGATATCGTGCCCAGTCGATAGGCCTGTTCGTTCCCTGGATGAGAACCCGCCGGATGATACAACTCGATATGCTCTCGGAGAGTTAGGTTTCATTCACAACACAACCGCGTTCTCCGATGTTTGCAGCACTCCGTCGCTGAGAAATACCTACGGATTCTTCGACCGACCGAATTTGTTCGCAGCTGTTCATGACTTGTTGCCTGTTTTCTCTCAGAGCAAAGTGTCAACGTTTCAGGATATACTGTACCCCAGCCCCTGGTATTGGGCTAAGAAGGTACCATATGTCAAGGAGAAAGACTATGGCTGGGAGGAGAAGAAGGACAAGTTATACTGGAGGGGGTCAACGACTGGTGGCTTTTCTAAAGGCGGGGGCTGGCGACGGCATCATCGGCAATTGATGGTCAGCAACATCAATGCGCTCAATAACGCCAAAATTCTCGCCAAATCTGACGACGGAAATTGGGAAACTGAAGAGGTTGACCGCAGCGTCTATAGCAACCTTTTTGACGTTCAATTCACCTCCGTTGGGCAATGCGATCGTAATGACTGCGCCGCCCAGATGGAATTCTTTAACATCACAGAGCCTGTGGAACAGCAAGAGGCTTGGGCTTACAAGTACCTCGTTGATATCGACGGGAACGCCTTCAGTGGCCGGTACCACGCGTTCCTCGAAAGCAACAGCCTGATTTGCAAGATTGCTTTGTTCCGAGAATGGCACGATGAACGGCTCAAGCCTTGGGTCCATTACGTCCCACTGAGCCTCAAAGGGGACGATCTCGTAGAGACCATGCGTTATTTTTCTTCAGAAGAAGAGGGCAGAATCGCAGCACCTCGAATAGCTCGGCAAGGGAAAGGCTGGGCACAGAGCACGTTACGCAATGAGGACATGGAAGTCTGGTTCTTTAGATTGTTATTGGAGTAAGTCGATTCTACAACCTTTACTTGGGTGTACATATACTGACAATGATGTCTCCAGGTATGGGCGCTTGATTGATGATAATAGAGAGAACTTGGGATACACATGGTAATATTGTTATATATAGCGCCTTGACGGTTGCACAGCTGATGTGTATGAATTACGCCATTATGCCACCCTATATTCCACCGCCACTCGGAGTTCTGAGAGCACGTAAAAAGGTGCTTATCTCTGTCTCTTTTAATACCCCTCTTATAGTACAAGTGAGCTGGGTATCTGTTGTGCTACGGTACCAGTGGGCCAGTGTCGAAGAGGCAGATGGCATCAGGATATAGACTTTCAGGCAGGGACTTCCTGCGCAACTTTTCCTCTGCAGCAATTCTTGTGCGCTATCATTCGCTAGCTTGAGGTACTCCTTCCAAGCCCTTAGTCCACCTATAGGGGCATGCTTTGAGCTTGTGGTGGGGATCAAACACAGCCTGGTTGTCAGCGTATTTAAACTAGGTTGCACGTGAGTGAGTGCCCGCAGTATACTTATATAGTCCGCGTACACATCTTCCCTGCAACTCCAATAATCTCTTTCCTTGTTCTTCATGCTCATCTTCTTACCCAAGCTCACGCTTGCCCGACTTCATAACGTCATCTCCCTCGGGCTGATAGGATCAGGCAACCCAAACTGAAGTCTGTCTTCATTCTCTGACACAGCATGGCATCCTCGCTATTAGCACCGCTAAAAACAGGCCTTATCCTGGGTTATGGTCTATTTACCTTGGTCCTATATGCAGTCATAGCAGTCTACACTGGGAAATTCTTTACAAGCACCACTGAAAAAGAGACCTTGGAGCTGCAGCTCGGTAAGTGTATTATACACCTCTCACTGTTCCTGATACCGGCTTCAAGACATTACCTGACCGTGTACGAAACAGCTCGCATTCGGCTATGGGATCTGTCAAAGAATTGGACTGTCTTCTCACATCAGATCTATACTCTACAGAACGGTTTCAGATTCCATTATGTCTCCAATGAAGGTAACGCCACGACCAGCGCCAGCAAGCCGTTGGTTATATTCATTCATGGCTTCCCTGACAGCTGGGGGATCTGGCGTCATATTCTAAGCGAAGAGTCCCTGCAGAATGCAGCGACACTGGTCGCTGTTGATCTGCCTGGTTATGGAGGTTCCGAGAGTTTAGAAAGATACACAGCCACTGCGGTTCTTGAGAGCCTTACTGAATTCATCATTGCTATGAGGTTAAAGTACGGCATTGATGGCCCGACTACTACCCATCAGCAAAGGACCGTTATTGTGGGACATGATTGGGGCTGTTTGCTCGCTATGCGGCTGGCAGCTGAAGCGCCCCAGTTGGCTGATAGGTTTATTGTCACTAACGGACCACTTGTATGTTATTTTCCAGGATCAAATAGCGCTTGGCTTGACTGACTCAAGATCCTAGATGCCCCTGGCCGTGTCCAACATCAATCGTCGACTATTGTCCTCATCGAAGATGCTCAAATCTTTCCTGCGCTCACCCGTCCAAGAGCGTACGTTATTTTTCAATGCCATCAGAACACTAAAACCCCTCTTGGTCCAACTGTGGCGTTCCGGATATATCTTCGCCTTTCAGCTGCATCCGATCGTAGTTGCATACCTCTTCAACGGAGGAAACCAATCATTGCTAAAGTACATGCATGAAATGTCCTACGGCCAGCAGAGCTACACTATCACTGACGCCGCAGAGTGCATGGCAAGCACACTTGGTCCATCTAATGTCGAAGGCAAGACGCAGAACCCTAATGGCGAGGGATACGCGGAATCCGTGGTGACGAGGCCCGCCATCTCGAACTTCGTTGAAATGTGCAGTTACTACCGACAAGGTACAGCTCTTGAACCATGGACGAAGTCCATCGAAACGATAACCAGTCTGCATAGCATTGCGCAGGAGACCGGGATCCAGCGCACTGCTAGTGGCGCTGGAATATTCGATGAACTGCCAGGCACGCTGAAAGCCAATACAACCATTATATGGGGCCAAAAGGACCATGCGCTCACGCGTGAGCTCTGCCTAGATGGTATATCGGATTACCTTACTCGGGATAGCCAGGTCGTTGAGCTTCCGATCAGTGCACACTGGACACCGCTGGAGCGAGATGGTCGAATTGCTCTTGGTAAAGCAGTCGAATGGGCGGTGGACGGTGAGCGCGAAGATATTGAAAAGGCTATTGCATTAGGTACTTGTTACCCGAGTGCAATGGTGACGGTTCGAAAGTAAGCCACTGGAATGTGGCGCCGTTTGTGTTTGATTGAGGCTCTATTGCTGGTCTCCGGTTGGTATTGCCATCTTCAGCCCGTTTTAGAATGTCGCCTTGATTCTCTGCTATCAAGCTGGTTGTGGCTCGAGTGCTTCGCTCCGTCTTACTGAGGTGGCGATGATCTGGTAGAGCTTGCTTGGCTGGACGAAGTACTTCCTTTGCAGAGTAGTGTCATCGTTGATATATTCCTGCGGGGAGGAAACTAACTGATGACGGCCTGTGATGAATGATTGCCTCATGAGAAAGATCTGGTAAATTGAAATGGTGCGACTTGTCCTGCCCAGTCTGATGCACAATCCCCAATAGAAGCTTGCCTGACAGGTCTGGGCATCCGGCCAACCATGGCCCAGCCGCTCTTACCTAGTCCCCAGACTCCCCAACCACCCCCTTCGAACTCCATTGATCTTCGATTCCCCACGGGCCATTGAATCGTCGAGAAGTGTCGACAACTCGCGGATGATCAACTCAGATGACACAGGATAACGGTTCCAGCGCCTCATAGCACAGTCCCTTCACATCCCTGGAGCGGGGTTGCCCAGTCATAACCGGTGAGGGGAAGCGCCTCTAGCGTTAGTCCTCCCTACACTCTCCTTTCTCTTTTGGCTTCATCACTTTTGTGGTCGCAAGCTTCGTTTCTCTCGGTTTGTTCTCTATCTACGCTCCGATTGCCTGATAATTGAGGCTTTCGCTGCTGTACAGCTCCTCCGGGATGGTTACCCAAGAAGGTCCAGTCTATTGCACTGTAGGTACCCCAATTCTGAGCTTTCGCGCCCATTGACAATTCTTTAACCTGAAAACAGCTACTTTTGAGTGATAACTACCTCCCTGGTAAACTAATGGTCGCTCAACAACCCTCAATTCCTGACACTAACGTGCCATTATTTAGGTGCCGTGGTCCTCGCCCACTCACTGCGCGACAATGGCACCGAGGCCAAGCTGGTTGCGTTGTATACACCGGACACGCTGCAGGCTGCCACGATAAACGAGCTCCAGGTGCGCGTTCTGCGTCTTATACATGGCGCACTATCCGTGGCTGCGATCGTTCCTAACCCTGTTGGCCTAGACTGTCTACGATGAGCTCATACCCGTATATCGGATGACGAACCACACGCCGGCGAACCTCTGGCTTATGGAGCGCCCGGATCTCATAGCAACCTTTACGAAGATTGAGCTATGGCGGCAAACACAATACAAGCGCATTGTATACATTGACTCCGACGTGGTAGCTATCAGGGCACCCGACGAGCTTCTGGCCATGGACGTAGATTTCGCCGCTGCCCCGGACGTCGGCTGGCCCGACTGCTTTAACAGTGGCGTGATGGTATTGCGACCCAACATGCAAGACTACTATGCGCTGAAAGCCCTTGCGGAACGAGGCACCAGCTTTGACGGGGCCGACCAGGGCTTACTGAACCTGCACTTTCGCGACTGGCACCGGCTTAGCTTTACGTACAACTGCACGCCTAGCGCGAACTATCAATATGCCCCGGCCTACAAGCACTTCCAGAGCACAATTAGCTTGATACATTTTATTGGATCCCAGAAGCCTTGGAATATGTCGAGACAGGTGGCTCCTCTTGATTCGCCATATAACCAGTTGCTGGGAAGATGGTGGACGATTTACGACCGACATTACCGCTCGGCTGCTTTTGTGAGTGACGCGATTGATGATTCCGCCTGTTCTGTTGAGCAACCAGACCGAGTATGGAACTAATACCGTTGTTAGGAAACACCGGAGCCGAGTAGTCGCCCGGCTGCGCCACAAGTTCACTATACAGATGAGCCAGTATCCGAGACACATGCCCAGCACTTTCCAGATACTGTAACACATCGAGATTTTGAACAACAGACGCATTCCATCCCTGTATCAGAACATACACCGCATCAACAATTACTCCAGCATGAGGCGACATCGCATCCCCAGCCAGTTTATCATCCGCCGGAGGGAGGCTCATATAAGCCCGTACAGGTCTCTTTCTACTCAGAATCGGGTCATGCGCCATTGCCTATGGATCAGTCGACTCACAACATTTATGCAGAGCAACCGTCTCACCACGAATACACAGGGCATCCACCTCAGCATATCCCAACAGAGCATCCGTCTCAGCACATCCACGAAGAGCATCCACCTCAGCACATCCACGAAGAGCATCCACCTCAGCACATCCACGAAGAGCATCCACCTCAGCACATTCAAGCTGAACACCATGCCCAGCACACCCAAGAAAAGTATTCGACTCAGCACATTCAAGCTGAAAATCATGCCCAGAACCGCTTCCACCGACCTGTCATTAGTGTAGTTCCGCAGTACGTCCGCGGAGAAGAACACATAACGGCTTATATACAACCACAGCACCATCATGAACACACCCATCATTTTGTACAGCCCCGTCTAATACACGAGCCCAGTGCGCCGACAGAGCACACCCACAAATTCGAGCAATATGATACCAGCACTCCTCAGCCACAAGCCCCCATTGAGACGCAACGCGCACCATCACCTCAACCGCCTCCCCAGGATGAACCGATTTTTGAAGCTCCTAGAGCGGAGTGGGATGCGTCTCGGTGAGACCAACGTTCAAACAGTCTAATGACATCTGCTGACTCTTTCTATGAAGTGAACCGCCACCATTGCACTCTAAACCGGAAGGAATAGCGCTGGAGAGCAAGACATATACCATGTCTGTTGATCACCAGCTGTTCCAGCCTCCAGAGTCTTACCCGGAAGCCCCCAAGGACATGTGGTATCAGGTCCCGGAGACGAAGCCCGAGCCGCAGAAACTCACCCAGTTATTCCCTTGGGAAACGAATGCACCTAAACCCACCAGAGTATTTGCTGATGATGAGCGTCAATCCCAACCCTTGGTCTCTCCTACCTCCACCAAAGGCGAATCCTGGACCTCCCAATCCTCCCAACCAACATCATGGACATCCGAGGTAACCAGCGTGCCAAGCGAATCCTGGGACACCTACTCCCGCTCTAACGCATGGGATGAGGTCCCTGAGATTCAGAAGTACATCCAATCCATCCAGCAAGCCCGCAAGGCCCGAGCTCAAGTCATCTCCGGCGGGCCCAGCCAACAAAAGGCAACATCCCCTCTGACCCCAACCCAACAACACCAATCCAGGACCAGCAGCCAGGACCTCAATCTCTCCCTCGGCACCCGGATAACCGACTTCCCCAGCCCACAGGAACGGCCCAGCCTCCCGGTCACTCCGGCCCCCATCCACAGAGGCCCGGCCCTAGGAAGTCCCGAGGAATACACGACAGCCCAGCTCCCCGCGGCAACGGGCGTCCCCAACCAGGAAGACTGGGTGCGTCTCACGGTTGATGTGCTTTTCCACCTCCTACGGGCGACATACTTATACTGGAATTATACAGAACCCGTCACTGCGCCTCGAAGAGCTGCGGCAGCGGCAGAATAGTGTCTTGGATGATCCGGACTCGCTCGTTGAGCGGCTTACCAAGGTTCTTGGCGATGGATATGTGCATGAGAATAAATATGAGAATGAACATGATAGGAATGGAAAGGGTGATGGATTTGGTACTGGTATTGCTTCAGATTGATGATTCGGTTTCTTTTTTTTTTATCGCTTTTTTTCAGCAGACCATGGTCCTTTTTCTGTTTTTGCTCACTTTTTGTTTCTCTGGATGCATTTTGTTGTTATTTGGCTTGTATCCATTTTTGTGCATTGGTCTTGCATTCAGTGTGCTGTATAATATTTTCATTTCAGGGATGCTATTTACATATATTTGCATCGTTGTATGAGGCAGACTGCATATTTATCATCAGTACTTACTTTTTATTTTTTGGGCAAATAAGCAGAGCATTTTCAGAATCATTAATGATCATTTCGTCGTTGGTCTAGCATGGTATCCTGAGGACATTAATAAACATAACAAACAGGAAAAGACGCCGTTCAATGCACGCCATAAAAGCCAAGGGCCAAAACAGCCGAAGCATTAGGGCCGCGTTCGCGTTGAGGTAACCCTAGGAATGGCATCGAGAAACTGTGAAGTCAATAGTCATCGGGTTGATGTACAATAGGTACGAGGAGAGAAGAGTGTTGAACGTTGGGCGAGTCCGAAAGGAACGAGAGAGGAGTAGGGTCGTAGGGATTGTTAGGAGGGTTGATATCAGGTTCGTTCACCGCGAATGGAATAGAAGTGCGACTGTTTGATGTGAGAAGCCTTGCCGGACTTCTCGTCGAAGATCGAAAACCCATAGTGTGCCGCGTTTGGTGGAGTGTAAACTAGATAGGCAAGACCAGGTCTGAGATAGAGAGCTTCAGAAAGGGTTTGGGTACATACGGTGTAGAGAGATGGCCACCTCGTTTGGATTCGGGTTGTGAATTTTGTGTAGGCCCAACTTTGAGACATTAGCAATACTTCAGCCATACAGAGCCGTGTTCAACACACCTGGTCGGACATGTATGTAACCTGATTCTCGCCGTATGTGGTCACCTTCGTGACCTGAGGAGGCGATGACTGTCCATGTTGCACTTTGTCCTGGTCAGGCCATGTGTATAGGGTTTCTTGCAGACTGCCTTTCAGGATCTGATCACAGTAAATTGGGTCAATTAGTCCTCCTATATCAAAGAACAAGGGATGAAGTATACCTTCATGACGCAATGAGCGTTAGCATGATCATGGATAGCGCTCCCACGTCCAGGGCTCCAGACAAGAATCAGCTAAGAATAGAGTTAGCTGACTGTCTCTCACAACAAACTCCGGCCAACGTGTATATGCGCAGAAACGTCATACATATGCACAAAGATACCGACGGCGATGAAAGATAACGACTGGCGGTGAGGCATGGAGGAAGCTCACCAGATTACTTTTCCCGTTTCCTTCGTCAATAAGGTTCCGCGTGTACGACTTGTGGGTATCCCCAAGGGCATAGTGAGTCCAGTCCTTTTCGTTGGAGGTGTAGAGCTCCATCAATCGTTGGATATCGAGAGGGTCGACATCGTCCGAGTCAAGCCCAGAGCTTGGGCCGAGAGCTATACTGAGGTCCTGGACGAGCTCCTCGAAGGCGTTGCTGGGAGAGTTCCCGGCATCTGAGGAGGAAGTCGAGCCGGACTTGAGATAAGGCATTTTGGCTGTTCAGTGCTCTGCTTGAATAGATTCAATGGCCAAGTAATCAACGGGGATTTGTATGTAGTTCCACTCGGGCTATCGGATGTAGAAGCTAAGGATAGGAATGATATCAAGCAAGAGGAGCGGATCGGAATGGGAGAATGAGAAATTTAAGAGGACACGTCGGGGAATTAATTCTATCATCCGCATGGAGATCTAAGGAACGTAACCATGTGAGGTTGTTGTGAACAGCAGGAGCGCCGAGCGAATCTTGACCCGATGCCGACGATAAGCGATAAGGGTTTCTGCCGGAGTGCCTCAGGCGCTTATGCTCAGACCGCTCTGCTGGGATCCCCACCAAGGCATCATCATCTTTTTCTTCAACAGAGTATTCACTTAGAGCGCCCCTCAACAGCGAACCCGGACTACATTCATTACCCCGCTATATAGATTTGCCCGTACGAGAGGTCATCTCGTAACCGCACGCCACAATGTCGACCACCGTGGAAAAGGTCAGGATACGCCCACCACCTTCTTTTTATGCAACCAAGTATGATACTGACTGCCTGGATGGATATAGATCAAGCAAGTCGAGGACGAGGTTCGCTTCCCGATCATAAGTAGTTAATGAAGGCGCATATTGACACACTCCCAGATGGCTCGGACTCAGAAAAACAAGAACACATCCTATCACTTAGGACAGCTGAAGGCCAAACTTGCTAAGCTGAAGCGTGAGCTTCTGACACCATCAGGAGGAGGCGGTGGTGGTGGAGCTGGTTTCGATGTTGCCCGTACCGGTGTCGCTAGTGTGTATGGTTCTCCCATCGACAAACATCGCCGCGAAATTGTCATTGACCCTGGAACAGTGGTTTTATTGGTTTTCCCTCCGTCGGAAAGAGTACATTGATGAGCAAATTAACGGGTCAACACTCCGAAGGTATGCGCGAACGAGTTGGGATAGATACGGCAGATGCTGACGGAGTCTTGCGATAGCCGCGGCGTACGAGTTCACCACATTGACAACCGTTCCCGGACAAGTTCTATACAACGGCGCGAAGATTCAAATTCTGGATCTTCCCGGTATCATTCAAGGTGCCAAGGATGGTAAAGGTCGTGGTCGACAGGTTATTGCTGTCGCCAAGACCTGCCATCTTATCTTCATCGTTCTCGATGTCAACAAGCCGTTGGTTGACAAGAAGGTGATTGAAAATGAATTGGAGGGCTTTGGTATCAGAATCAACAAGCAGCCCCCGAATATCGTGTTCAAGAAGAAGGACAAGGGTGGTATCTCGATCACGAGCACCGTACCCCTCACTCATATTGATAACGATGTAAGTAGTCCGAGCTGGTTCTCGAGGCTGTTCCAGTCACTGACCGCGTTTCGAATCCAACAGGAAATCAAGGCTGTTATGAGCGAATACAAGATCTCTTCTGCTGATATTTCCATTCGATGTGACGCAACAATCGATGACCTCATTGACGTTCTTGAGGCTAAAAGCCGCGCATATATCCCCGTCGTCTACGCTCTGAACAAGATTGACGCCATCACTATCGAAGAACTCGACCTTCTATACCGAATTCCCAATGCCGTCCCTATCAGTTCGGAGCATGGCTGGAACATCGACGAACTTTTGGAGATGATGTGGGAGAAACTCAACCTCCGACGAGTTTACACGAAGCCGAAGGGCAAAGCCCCTGACTATACTGCCCCCGTTGTGCTCAGGTCCACTGCCTGCACCGTCGAGGACTTTGTACCGCCCCTTCCCTTACTTTCTAGCAATCATAGTTTACTAACCCGTCGCTAGTGTAATTCGATTCATCGAACGATTAAAGATCAGTTCAAGCAAGCTATTGTGTATGGTCGGTCCGTCAAACATCAACCGCAGCGCGTCGGTCTCACTCATGAGCTGGCTGATGAGGATATCGGTTCGTGACCCTTTTTCGAGACCCATGGAACTATTGGAATTGACGGTGTAACAACAGTGACGATTATCAAGCGGTAAGAGTTAGCGGGAACGTATGAAGATCAGGGTGTTCGCCTGAACACAAACAACCTGCGACGAATCGCGTCGAGGAAGATGAGCGGGCTGTGTGCTAGGGGTGCTCTCGCAAAGGATTGTATATCCAAAGTCCCAACCCTTGTGACAAATCCTGCGAAGTAGTATGAGGGGATTGATTGGAGGGGATGATGTGCGCACGGGCAGCAAGCTGCCAAATGCCGCTTGGTCCTGCAAGATCACTAGCTAGCCTTGGGGGTACCTGCACAGGCTGCACCACGACCGAGTCTGCATTCCTCTGCTACCCGAAGTGATGCGCAATCGGTCCTCATCGCAACATGTGTGAAGGGAGAACGGCAAGCTTGGGGGATGAAAGCTACCCCCAACAAAGGTGTTTCTTGGTGAGCCGTACATCCAACTTTATTTCTTTCTCATTTATTCTAGTTCAACGTTCGAGACTTCTTCGATCATGCAAAGATCCGAATCATCCGGAATTCTAAGACAATGGAAGTTCTAGATCACTGCTCGGATATCTGAACGAGTAGGGCCATGTTAATGCTCCGATACCGTACTCATCTTTTCTCCTTTGGTCCCGCTTTGGCCTCCTGGTCAATGAAACAAAACAGAACAATTTCTGGGATCCTGATTACCTCTCGCCGTCATTGGTAGACGAGCATCACATTGCTTTGTCCCTAGTCGGCAGCTATTGTAGACGAAGCGCGATATAGAAGCGATTAACGGCGTTGCCATCGTTGATTCGCAAAGTGACTCGAGCTTGCGCGAGGCAAAGCTGAGACACATGTCTGCTTGCAGAAAATCAGGGAGCTCACGAGGCGCCGGTTGTGTATTCCCCTGTTCCACGGCGGGATCTGGACTACAGCGCGCAGATTGAGCGATGGAGCCCCTGACCGTGGTCGGGATTCAGGAGACTTCCCCAGTGTCGCCGTCCCTTGGTTCCTTAAAAATGCCTACATTGCATATGCATGACGGCCCCAACAGAATGGACACAAATCTTGAATTTCAATCCGTACGGACTCGGCTCTGGGGCAGCAGCTCGAACCTCGAATTCCTGCAAGGCCGCGACTCAGCCATGGCGCTGCAGGTAAACAGGGTCTGGGATGCTTAGCAGTAGGCGAAATACTAATCCGCCCGCAAGAGGCTCCTGGGTCCCATTTACCCATGATTTAATGTCCTTCGCCGTATTACGGTAATAAACAACCCAGGGGTGGTACAGTTATGGCCAAGTTGGACTTCAGCAACCGGAATCAACGCCGGCCGACAAAAGTACTGTCCCCCATCGTTCTGACTCCTGAGTCAAGAACTGAGTCCAGAACCGATTTACAATAAGGTTACGATAAGAATGTCGTGCATTGAAAATGGAGTTGAGAGTTTGATCGGGTCCCGGTCCAACACCTTCGCCTAGCTGGAACTATGGAGACTCCGTGCCCCTCTTAGTTTCGAGTCTAGGTCTCAAATCTCAACGGCGATTGATAAGTCGCTTTTAATCGAGATCGTCACTCCTCTCAGGGCTCTCGGATCATTTCCATCAGTCATAGCTCCTTCGTCCGGGCCTATCAGTATCAACAGGAATATCTCCATGTGAACGCGAATCAGGCAATCAATTTCCGGATGCGAAGTACGGAGTAGACTCGCGGGGATGTCTTACCGACTCCGGTGGGCCATCGTTCCTTGATGCAAGGGGAGTTGGGGACGACGACTGGCCTTGTTCAAGTCGCCGTACTCCGTATCTACTCGTGTTCTGAATCTGCCCTAAGCACCGAGGTTTACCCTGGCACATAGTCTACACAGCCTCGTTAAGTCTTCAATCAATTCATATCCACTGATATCACCGATCAGTTATATGGAGATTCGTCACTCGTTGCCTGAAGACGGCATCGGCGACCGACGGCTTTAGGTGCCTAATAATCTATTTGTTAGGTACCAAATCAGGCCCTACCGCACAGAGCCCGGATGTGTCTCCCTTGAGCCGTGTCGAAAATGAAGCTGTTGACAATGGCTGTCGCGGAAAATCCCTTGTATCCCGTATCCTGTATTTCCCTTCTTGAAGCTCCATCATTTTGGGCTTGAATGTCGCGGATCCTTCGGCCCAGCCACACCTCAGCTTCGGCAATGGATTATGGTCTCCTCTTGGTGACGAGTCGAACAATATCATTAATAATCCGTATGGACAAAGAACTGAGAAAGAAGAAAAAAAAGAGCAGGAACCGTGTCCAGTTACTCCGTAATTGTCCATCATTGTTCGAGTTTCGACCCTGGACGATTTCACATACCTATTGAACTGGTGCTTGATCCGACTCGCCTTTGTCCCGTGCAGTTGTCATACCATGGCTGCAGCGGATCCTGTTGGTCGCCTGATGTCACGGCCTCTTGGGAATTAAGGGCGAGATCGGTTCTGGCTAGTTTTCTTAGCACTATGCCTAGCAATATTATCGCGGAGGTGGATGAAGACAATCCAACCCCCGCCCAGATAGTCTCGCCGAGACGCCGAGTCGCTCAGCGTCTACTCGGAGTATGTATGTGCGCAGATGCAGGCTGGGGTGCAACCAGCCTTAGCGCATCCCGATACCAGATATCACTCTGCAATACGAGGCATATTAAGGTCAGGATATAGTCCTTCGACAAGGCAAACTGGCATGCGGTACCTTACAGATCTATTCTTGGAGATATGCCCCGATAAGGCTATTATCGCGGTCAACTCATCCTCGGGAGCGATGCTGATAGATGGTGAACGCTTCCCCGGTTCCGACTAGTTGATACTGGTCGAGCGATGCTGCCTCATATTCCTCCGTATAGCATCCATCCCATGGCTCAGTTAGCCTGGACTCTGGAGTCCGGTCTTCAAAGGCCTTGCAAAATCCGCAACCCCACTACATGCTTCGGGAATTGCAACCCTGTCTAGGCTACGGAGTACCTCGGGCAAAACAGGTTTGAGCCAATGACGGGGATATGCTTCAGATCTGAAGGCTGAAGCAATAATCTGACTCAGAGTGCCCGTGGTTGATTCGATAGTACTCCGTACAGAAGATGGCCATGTACAGAAGTCCTCAGCCGCTACTGACCAGCCGCCTAGGATAGCCCAGGGTCTTTCCTAAGGCAGTAACTCAAGGCTGGCGCCTTACCCAAGGCAGCGCAGAAGCCACCACTAACACCAGCTTTCGAGGCAGGGTGTGACAGACAAGGTCTATCAACGATCTCGGCAACTGACCTTGCTGACAGCCCTCGTGGTCAGTCAAACATGCAATCCAGAGAGCTCCCGATCACTGATTGGAGCGCGGTCGTGGTCACGGTTTGTCAGCATTCAGCAGAATTTACCCGATCAGACTGCGGTCTCTGAGCACGCACCCCAATGGCCGAGATCTTTAGCCCTAGTAAGGCTGGGCCGCCACCGAGTCCGACACATCAAATTCCTGTAATTCCGAAATTACACGTCGATTCGTCCCCGCTTCGAGGCTTCTGACGCCGTCAGGTACAGACGCTCCCACTGACGAATGGGACAAGCTCGTGAGTCAGTAACGTGGGGATATGACCAGGGTTCCCAGGCTCAAACTTGTCTTCGAGACGGAAAGATACTACTTAAAAAAACTCGAAAGGACCCAACAAGCTGCACTGCAAATATTAAGATTTGCACAGCTTAGGCTGGCGGCCCGGAGTGGACCGCGACGGGCCTTGTGGAGCGTGGGGTGCTAGCTCTGTCGTCCTTGAATTCGATCAAGGATTCAAGGTCACTCTTCAAGGTTGAAGGCTGGTGCCAGCGCTAACCCGTCCTCGTCCTTTAGTGTCACCGTCTGAGGGAACTATGCTTCCTGCGTCTGCCGTGATAGGCTGAGCCTCACTACCAATCCTCGGTCAGCGTTCGTTGCAAATCAGAATTGAAATCATTTCGGCGCTGCTGATTCGACCACAGCGACCCCCGGCTTCTCCTCGTGACAAAGTACACTGGGCGCAGATCAGTCTTGCTTTCTAACTGGACTGTGCACATAACCTACTTATCGGGTTGTCAAGGGTAGGTTCAAACTGAGTGCTTAGGGGAAAGATTGCTGAACGAGCTCTTCCGCTTTTCCCCGTCGTCTTTACTCTTTTCAGTGTATTAGTGAAAAGGTAAGCACGACTCTAGCCGGGTGGATATCTCATCGCTTGCCCCATCGTGAGAAATCTGTCAAGCTCGAGCCTCGATTTGTCGATAGTTCGCCGAATAGGGTCTAAGCTCTTGCCGCTTGTTCGAACGCTGATAAAGATCATCGCCGGCCCATTTCCTCAAGAGCTCAGTGCCGTTTTTGCTGGATAACAGCGCTACCAGTGACCTCGCCAGTTTCCAGGTTGAGTTTCACGTGGCCGTCGCACTCCACTCGACTACAGGAACTCGAGATGGAGCATTTTCTGTACAGCTTCATAGTAAGGGGCACCGTTCAAGCTCATCTGAAGCCATGTGTTGCGGTAGTCTCACCCAGAGGTATGTCATGCGGGTAAAGTTCGCCGGTTCCTGGCGGAGTCGCGATCCGTCCGTCAAAAAGCTCAAGATGTCTTGGAGTCTTGTTTCGATCGTCTGGGTACTTCACGGGGAAGGAAGTCGCGGCCTCAGCGAGTCATCTCCCAAGGTTTCTCGACCGTGGACGATCATCTCTACATTTTCAATTTTGATCTTCAGGCCTGACGAGTGGAGCTGCTGCTCTGTACACCTCGACTTCAGTGTCAAACATACAGGCACCAAAGTGGCTATGTAATTCACAGGCAGCCAGAGGCGGACAATGCGCAACGGGGCTGGATCAAGAATTGGAGGACGAATACGGCTCGGTGGATGGAGACAGAATTGAGAATTGAGAGGTGAGAGAGGGAGGAGAATCGCATTATTATGAGTGAGTGCTTTTTCTGCGGTTGGACTGTGGCCCCGGGCTCTCTTTGTCCATTCAGCCTTCCCTTGTCCGGCTCCACCGAGATCTGTCGAGACTCGAGGTGCTCTCTACCGTTCTCAATCTCGAGTCAGGCCTCACTCTCCATGTCGGTGTAACAGCAGAACCTGACCTCAGGCGGCCCCAACAGCGTTAGGCCCAGGAACAAGCAGCGTATTCGAGTACGGTACCTGACCACGCCTGTCTTAGCATGACGAGCGCTGGGGTCACGTCCTGTATCGCGACCCGGCCAATCAGGGGCCAGAAGTGCAGGTTCTCGATGCTGGCGCTGTAATTTTAATCTCTCGCTCTGACCAGCCTGAAAGGGACTGAATTGAGAAGAGAAAAGAATAAACCGAAAGGGAATAAGTATGGCCGGGGTAGCACGAGAGGTACACTCACTGACACTCACCACTCACCACTTGGGCCATCCATCCACGCTCTTGTTCTATACCTGACCTGCCTGCCTCCTGTCGCTCCCCGCCTCGTCTTCGTCTCCTTCCTATCCCTTTCCCTCTTCCCTATACAGAGTGCAGATAGCTTTGCTCAGACCATCCATGTCTGATTGTTGTAATTGCGTCTGTCCCATGTCGACTATGCACCTGCATCTGCTTGGTCCTTGGCTCTAGACGACTGTGGTCTCTGCGCCATCTGCGCTGCTCCTCGACCCTTGAGCAGCTCTTGCTTTTTTCTATCCTTCTTCCCCCTCACGAGTCACGCCTCTTCTTTGGCGTGCAGCTTATAGCGCCTCTTCCCCGCCGCCAGCCATCTTGACGCCTCTTCTCAAGCCTATCCCAACTCCCAACTTCCAGCTCTCACCTCTTAGCTCCCAGCTCCAACGCCATGGACACGGAGACTCCCCATGCCCAGGACAACGGCTTCACTCAGTCTCCTTGGATGGATATGGGCGGGTTCCATCCGTCCCAGCAACATTCGCCTCCATTGGATTATCACGGCTTTGGATACCCAGTTCATGTACCTCTAGATGCGTCCTACGGCGTCACGATACCACCGCCTTATGCGCCACCTGCGTTGCCCATGACGGTGCCTTCCAATGCCTGGCCCAGCATGCTTACCACTACCTCTCAACCGCCTTTCCAGCACGCCGAGCACCCAGTGGCTCCGGTACCTATCGCCCCATCTGTATCTCCAATTGCGGTAGTTCCACCCCCTAGGAAGTCGTCCACGAGTAGCGCAACGCCACGGAGAACTCTTACCGACGATGACCGACGGAGGATGTGTATCTACGCCGAGGAGAATAAGACCGCCAAACAGAGTGACATTGGAGGTACGCTTCTCCTTCCTTAAGGAGGCAATGATGCTAACGAGTTGTTAACAGCACTTTTTGGTGTCGAACGAAGGTAGAGGACTTCTTTTGTTTCCCAGTCTCGGTATCCGCCTTCTAACTTCTGATAGCACTGTCTCAAAAGTCCTGCGGCATAAGGACAAGTATCTCAACCCCGAGGATGGAAGTCGATCACCTATCAAAAGGGCCAAGGGCCGAGTGCCTGACATTGAAAAAGCCCTGTCCAACTGGGTTAGGAACTATCAGCGCGGAGGCCATGGCCTAACCGATGAAATGATTCGAGAAAAGGCTCTTTTTTTCGCCAACACTTGTGGTTCGGACGGGAAGGAGAAGGTCCTGAGCACTAGCTGGTTGGAGAAATTCAAGCATAAGAATGGCTTGCTGGGAGCTAAGGTTCGAAAGGGCTCATTCGGAGCAAAGAGCGAACCCGAGAGCCCAACTGGCCTGAGCCCAACCGGTCTGAGTATCAACTCGGCTCTAGCATCTGCTGTGCACTCACCCACTGTGCTTTCGCCCATTTCACCTAGGGGTACTGGCTTCATATCTCCTTCACCGTTGTCACCCGCCCAGAGCCACGAAAACATCAGAGGGAGTATTTCCATCGGGCCTACGGATCTTGGAATTGACTTTCAACATTCGCACTCTCGGATCTCGCTCGATACTAGCTCTTCTTTCTCCCCAACATCCACACTGCTGACCGAGAGTCCGTTCACTCCATCCAGTCAGTCCCGTATCTCTCCCACGGACGGAAACGCCAGCAGACCTAGAAGCCAGACATTCCCACTCGCCAACGCGGATCCTCTCTCTATGCCCGCGGACGATCCATCCGAACCGACATCTGCCATGAAGGGACTTTTACCCGCTGCAATGGAGGACGCTGTTGGAGAGGGCAATGATCAGAAAATCTCCCTCAACATCGACACATCCGCTGGCACGATTAAACGCAACCGAAGCAACCCAGACATTCGGGCCAGAACTATCTACCCTCCGTCATATTCGAAGTCTACGACCGTCTCCCCGATTAGCTCTCCAGGATCCCCGACTCAGGACGAAGCCCGCAAGGCTTTGGAGCTGGTGGTAAACTATTTTGAGCACCAGAGCACTGGATTAGGCGCCCAAGAAGCCCTTACCATCGGCAAACTACTGGAGAGGTTACAGCTCGCCCAACAGCAGCCTACGCTACCAGGGGGTCTCACTCGTATCGACGAGCACGACGACGCCCCCGCACCTCATCAACCTCGTCTCACCAAGAAGCGAAGCATCCATAATTTTGGTTAAAATCATGTACACTCCTGAACCAGTCACAAGAACGTGGCTTGCCTCCCCATGTGATCCTGTTATACGGTCTCTCTATCTAATCTTGGGTCGGCTTGTTATCTATTCCATCATTGCATGTGCTCTGTGGATTTGTTATTTTGTTATTGATTCCCTGTTTCATTACTTGCTATACTGCACATTTTGCTGGGGTTTGGGTAAAACCGGACGGACCGGACGGACGATACAGATACTACGAGGGCGACCTCAACCTCCTTCAGTTTATACGATATCCATTCGAAGACAGAGGACTCTACTGCTCCTGATATATAGGATGCATGGTGGATATACCACTATTGGCAATGGCGCGATTTGCTTTTGGTCTCTTGTTTCCTTTTTGTCGCGCATTTATACCAGGCCACTGTCATTTCCCCGGACGGAGATGGCGAGTGTGCTCGTGTTTGTGGCCGTCTCTGCTGCTGCATTATCCTTGTCTGCATGATCACCTGCGGCTGTCTAAACCAACTCGCTCGCGCGAACTGCATTGATTCCCTGCTTGTTCTGGTTTATCATTTCTTCCTCTCACTTAGAGCGTACATTATCTACGTAACATATTCTTACTCTTCCAATTTTTGGCGATCTATCTATCCACTTAGTTTCCTACCGCAAGGCCCCGGCGTAGAACGTCTCGCGCCACAGCTGCTAATGCTGACAATTGCCAAACGGACCCGGCTCCATCCATGTTTTCTTTTTTCTTTTTCCAGCACACCTTACGATGGGTACCTACAGACACAGTCCAGAAGTACCTTTTCCCACTTCTCACCCTCACCGCATCTTTTGCGTCACCCTTCAACACGAACTCCTCCTGCTCGCCGCCGAGGGAGCGTTATCCTTGAACCTCGATTCCTTCCAGTCGGGTTTCAAAGTGTAAGACAAGACAGCACCAGTTCACGCCGGCCCCGGTCTAGACTGGACTAGTCTGCACACCCTGAGCACTAGCCGGACTAGCCCGACGTCATCTCTGCTCGTAGGGGCAATGCTCCATGTACATCTACCCGACCTGTCAGTCTGGTACCGATGTGTACTTATCCTCCCCCCTTATTCGTCTGCGCGCAGTTGGTATCTCGTTGTATTCTTGCGCAGGGTGGGTTGGAGTCTACGTACTTTGGCCTTCAGCCTTCGTGCTTGCTTTCGTGCGGAGACTGGAGTACTTGCTTTCCTGCGCAGATACTGAGCAACTCACGGGCGGGTGAGATTACTAACCTCTCTATACTAAGTACGGAGTTCTCAGTGGGTAAGGATCTCTCAAATCTGGAGCACATAGGTTCCATTGGCGACTCCTACTTCGTATCATACTCCGTGCTCTACTCACTGCTCAGGGATGTCAGTACTCCGTAGGTACGGTAGACAGCTCAAGCTGACCGGTTCGTCCAGTGTCCAGTGTCCAGTTCTGTACCACACACACCACAGCTTCCGACATACGAGGTCTCGATGAGCATGTAGACAAGTCCGGGGTGTGCGTCGCATGACAGGACAGGGCAAGGGGTGTGCATTGCGCCTCTCAGTGCTCACAGAGAAGAGCCGGGCGAGCCGGCCGGCCGGAGACTCAAGAGGAGAGATCTGAGACCGAGAGAGGGGAGAACATCATGCTTTCTTTTTCCTGCAATTGCCCTGCTCTTGCTCTTGCTCTTGCACTTGCAGTTGGCAGTTGCACTCCTGCAGCGCCGCCTTGCAAGTGTCAACGCCATGGCATGCCGCTGCCCGCAGCTTTCTTTGTCCCTCTGTTCTTGGCGTGGCGTTGGCGTTGGCGAAGGCGGTTCGTTGCGCCTTCCATTTCGAGGTCGAGGGGTGTGCTCAGGAGGGGAAGGGTTCTGGAAGGGCGGCAAAGGTTCCCCGAGGTTGGGCGTTGCCGGCTCGTCTACGGATATACGGGCTTCGTTAAGGGGATGGGATGGATATGGGTATGGAATTTTTGTTATGGGCGAGGTGCGATCTTATCGAGATTGATAGTAATATCTCTTAGTGGCAATGTATCCATGGAACGCCGATAGGCCATGGCCGAAGAATGAGCTTACCTAGAGTATGCTTTGCGCTTATCCAAGTCTAGGACAGGACAGTCATAGTACTCCGTAATCATCGAGGTCATTAGCATTACTCATTATTATATACAAAGGATCGGGAAAAATGTACGTTAGTACGGAGGACGGAGTACCTCACGCAGCAGGTACAAGAACGGCCCTGTCCTCCATGAGCTCGGCGATACTACGATCGGACAACTCAGGCAGGAGCCTCGCGAGCACAGTCTCAATGATCGAGTAGACGAGGTGCTTGTTGCAATACTCATCTGCGAAGAGATCTAGGATATCGGACTCGATTGCCGAAGCGAGGAGCGGCTCCTCCACGTTACTGCCACTGTCGTCGCCACTGCCAGTACCGCCCGACGACGGTGACAAATGCGAAGGCGACGAAGAAAGACGATCCATTCTAGCGCCAGACCCGGACGTCTGAGACTGGTGCGGAGATTGGGCCCGCGGTTGAACAGACGAGGATATTTGCCTAGGGCCAACCTCTGCCGGAACACCAAACAGGCGGCGCGCGATTGGGCGAGGCACCAGAGACAAAATGCCAAGTGCGCATTTTCGCCTTATTGAGGCGACTTCGGCTGGTGAGGGATGCCGCTGCTGATCCGGCGACACCGTTGTCGCAATATCAGACGGCGTTATTGTCGTGCCGCCAGAGGCGGCAGTCGTTTGTGTCGCACTGATGGATGACGGCGCTCCAGGCGTTGGCAGAGTAGGCGTTGAGGTCGACGTCAGCACCTCACCGCGACTGACGCTCGGTTCAGGCTTCGGGCGCGGATTTTGCGGGAAAAGCGCCTCCCGCGATGCCTGTAGGAGATTGGGTAACAAAGCGGGGGTGATGACATACTCCTCAATGTTTTCGTGGAGGAACCTAATGAAGGACTAAGTCAGTACAAATCTCATCACCTTGGCTGAATCTCGCTAGCAGAGGTGAAATTCGGGGAAAAGACGAGGGAATAAGCTGTCGCAAAGGTCGAGAGAGCCAAAACCTAGTGGAAAGGCGAGGCGAGCGATAGGTGTGGAGAAGCAGTCCATTTCAGGGGCCCTGGCAAGTGCTTCCCTGATTGCAGGGGTTGCCTTCTGTCCCCTCGTCTCTCTGCCCAATCTGAGCAGTAGTGTGGTTGGCTTAATTGCCGTCAAGATATTTCATCATTCGATGCGCACTCGTCAGGAGCGAACAAGATCTGCTCGATCAGAGCAAATCGAGAAGCTTGGACCAGCTATGGCCCCTCAGCACTGGAGACGTTGAGGACGAATGTCAAAGCTCAAATCGAGAAGGCTTTTCTTCGGCGCGTGCATCGTCAATCAGAGTGAGCCACCGAGCAGCCACAATTTTAGCGGGATATCATAGGCTAAGTCGTTAGGCCTGAACACGATAGGAGCGATGGAACCCTCCTCGGCTGCAGGTCGAATTTAAAAATTCATGCGCCAGGAATTTCGCTGATTGGCTTGAGCAAAGACAAATGCAAGCAAAAAAGGCCTGGCTTAGTGGTCCTTTCATGCAACCAAGGCTAACAAAAGGCCATTTCCGCAAGAGGTGTCCGTGATTCTGATGCCAAATATCTCCGCCAACGTCGACTAGGGGTGGTCGCTCCCGCCAACTCCTGATCGGCAAGACCGAGATTGTCCTGTCTCCGATCGCGTGAAGATTCTAAGGGGCCGGAGCCTGCTTCTTCAGGCGGTGATGGGCAGCGAAGTCTGGTTCCAGCACGGCACGGAAAGGGCCGGGCCTGTCCAATCACTCCTGAGCAACCATAAGCACTGAAGAAAGGACAAAGCTCAAAGAGAAGACGTTAAACGTTTGCCAGTCTATTCAGACACGGCCAATCGGCGAGCAGCCCCATATTGCCCTGAAGAGTGAAGGCCTGGACAAGTGGCGACCATCATATCGCGGCACAAACAGACTTCAGGGCATGCACAAAATGAGAAATGATCCCGAAGACTGCCCAGGGGTCCGTCGGGGACCTCCCTCCGTCGTCTGTATTGACGATACGCGCCTCGTTATATGACGGTATTTTGAGGTCAGGTCTGTAACGCCTGATACCACAGAAGCCTCGGCGAATGAGCGCCCGTTGTTGCTATCGCGAAGGATGCGCCGTGCATCCACCAGCAGATCAAGTGATCGATGCAGCATGCGTGCAATGTAAATCCGCTGCATTGACGTCCCGCTTGTCCTTCGACTTTCTTCCAATGACCGCCTGAAATCGGCCGGAGTGAGAAGCGCCTACCAAGTTTGCAGCACCATTCGTAGATCATTGCTCGGAAATCAAACCACATACGGTTTGCTCCCTTGGCTATTCGCCCACAACCCATCAATTCGAGAGTCGACCACCTTTGGTTTTTCCGGTTCTCTCCTTAAGACACCGGCAAGTCCGGACCATGTGGATGGAGTACAAGACCTGTGATACATTGTGCGACCATGGAATGTGTAGGGAAGGGAGTTCAGAATTCCAAATAATCAGAGCCACTCACCTATCAAGCACACTCCCTGTGTCTCCCACTTTTCCTGGACCCGCCAGGATAAAGTACTGGAAGAGGGCTAACAGTCCTCCTAACCATGGCATCCGCCGTGGGACATCCAGCAACTGCGACAGCATGCCAAACAGTCGATAGTCAAGCACCGGGCGCTTCCTTGTGCCATCGTCTTTCGCAGATGACTCGTCCACTGGAGAGCGCAAATTTGGAATCACTGGCGGTGTGGACGCATTGCGAAACAGCCCAGCTACGATGAATCGTAGAGTCACGTATGCGAAAAATCCATACTGGAGGATTTGCCATATCCAGCGTGAGACCCGTGATTGAGTAGTAGGAGATGCCTGATCATTCTCACCGTCTGTGTTTGAAAGCAGACCAAATTGCTGTAACTGGTTTGGCCGAGGTATCTCTGCCTGTGTCGCGCCATGCCCACGTCCGTCGTTATCCCTTGAGAGCATATCCAGCAGCTTTGTCGTACTGTCCCACAAGAACCAGCCTTCGCATACCTTGTCACTTATCTGATTTCCCAGAATGAGATCGGATAGGATGTCGCTCAGCAAAGTCCGCAAACACGCATTCTCGAGGTCCTCGGTAGGAAGAAGTACAGCCAGAACGCCATCCACCAATAATCGCCGGTATATCTCTTCGTTGTCGCGCTGCTGCGTGATTGAATCTATGTCCGAAGTGACCGGAGCCGGCGAGAGGGCTGGGTGCGGATTCAAGGCATGGTATATCTCGCGGGAAGAGGGTGATAACCCGCTCAAGTTCGACTGCTCTTTGGCTAGGCGATACGCTGGTCCTCAGACACCACGGTCAATAAACAATCCATACCTCGATGCCGACAAGGTCAGCTACTTACAGATAATATGCGCCTCTACTAGGGCAGGAATATCGTCCAGAGCCAGCTGCGCAATATCCGTCTCCCGCAGTCTTTGCTCAAGCGCCCGAGTGAGATGCGCGATCAGTTGGAGCACTTCGTTGATAAGAGCTTGATCCGACGTGATTTTTGAATACCAGGAGGAGATGAACTCTTTGATGATCATGGCGACGAGAGCGTAGAGTTGACGGTCCACATCGTTCGAGCTCGTAAGCGGCGGTAGCAGCTCCTCCGGAGCATACGGTGAAGTGGCACCGCCATAGTTTCCTGACTGAGGACAAAGCACGCGTCGAACCAGGGCAGCTATAGCTTTGTCACTTGATCCGTTAATCTGCTCATCCCGACCGCTGTTCTTCAGCTGCTGCCGGTTAGGAAACTGCGAGGGGGCAGTAGTTGTCGGGGAGGCTGGCACGGCTGTTGACTTGGAGCTGGATGTAGTTGGGCCCGCCTTGAGTTGTGAGAAGGGTTGGAGGCCCGAAGGGATAGAGTCGGTGTTCATTTCATCGCAGGCAGAACGCGGACTAGGTTGTAGCAAGGAAGCGCAAATATATCGGAATCTGATGCTGCAGCGCGGATCTGCAGTCTTTGAATCGAACCTTACGGAGTACAGCTCCGAGACGCGACTGAGACGTCACATGTCCGGATACGGAAAATAGGGCTAGGGCTGCGCCGATAAGGACAAAGATAAGGATAAGGATCCCCCGCCTCCTGACCCCGGATGAACCAGTATTTGACACAAGGAGACTCCATCTCCATAGCCCAGTTCCGCTTCAAGAAAGTAATCATGACCACCGCATCACACACACCAATCCCTCTCTGGCTGGATTGCGATCCTGGTCTGCAGCCCAACCCAATATCCTGATTTACTGTTGCCGTCTATCAAGCTGACATCGACCCAGGACACGATGTAAGTAAGGCCTATCTGGATCTATTCTGCACACCAGCCACGGGGGTCTAATGTAGTCTTTATTGATCAATGTAGGACGCGTTCGCAATCCTTCTTGCAGCTCATCACCCGTCCCTGAACCTCCTAGGTATCACGACCATTCATGGCAATGCGTCTTTGGAGAACACCACTGTCAATGCCACCAGGCTTCTAGAGGCCATCGGCAAGCCCGAGATTCCTGTCTACCCAGGAAGCAAAAAGCCCTTCTGTAGACCTGCTGTGCACGCTCCTAACATTCACGGTTCGTTTACCCAGCGAGCTCATTTTGTACAGCGAGCTAATTTCACAATGACGGATGCAGGCGACTCAGGTATTGATGGAACCGAGCTCCTTCCTAAGGCCTCACGGGCTCCGATTACAGACAAGAATCCCATCCTTGCTATGCGCGATGCACTCATGGGCCAACCTGAGGGCACACCCTGGGTCATAGCTACGGGAACTTTGACCAACATTGCCCTGTTGTTTGCAACATTCCCAGAAGTCGCATCGCATATCAAAGGTCTCAGTATCATGGGTGGCGGCGTTGGCGATGGCTTTGCCAACGCTCCAATTAGCAGAGTACTTGGGCATGAAAAGCGGGTTGGAAATGTCACCCCATTAGCAGAGTTCAACATTTACGTATGTTGCTCATAAACAATACATTAGTGGTGAGCCAACTCTGACTTCTATAGTGCGATCCCGAGGCTTCCCAGTCAATCTTCAGCAACGAGATCCTCGCACCGAAGACGTTCTTGATGACTCTGGACCTGACGCACCAAGTCCTTGCCTCCCGTGACGTCCAAACCCGTGTCTTACACGGCAACGGCGACCCCTCCACACCGCCGACTGTGCTCCGCCAAATGCTATACGAATTACTTCTTTTCTTTGCATCAACCTACGAAACCGAGTTTGGTATCACAGCAGGCCCCCCACTGCACGATCCTCTCGCTGTAGCAGCCATCATATCGACCCTCAACCCGGAATTTGCTAGCAAGCACCCCGAACAGACTCTGAAGTTTGATGACCGCAACGGCGAGCGATTCGCCGTCACCGTCGTTACCGATGGGCTCCATGGAGATGACGTTGCTCTGGTAGGACAGTTGGGCCGCTCGGTAGTCTGCAGTAATCCGACCGGGGTCTGTATACCCCGTGGGGTGGACCTGGAGGCTTTTTGGGCGATTATCGTGGACTGCATCAGGCGCGCAGATGAACTGAACGCATCAAGAGCGGCAGCGTAAGTCTGCGTGCAGTTTTGCTCAGTCACATAAGATCTACAGCATATATACATCCTCTGGCTTGCATATAAGGGATCCACCTGTTTGAGTATCCATGTTTTACACAATATATTCTATCAACCATGTCCATAGAATAAAGTAACTACATAAATGGGCCATGGTCCAAAGCCTATAAGCATTTAAAGTAGTTAATAAAACAAGGACAAAATGTTGAATACCTCTTTGTACTATCGTATGAACAGTACAATAGACCATGTTAGCTGCTGTGTGGTGACTATCAAGACAGGTGGATTTTCATTATATGCAGGCCAGAGGGTGTAGTCAATAGAGAGTACATACTTTGGACATTTGAAAAAGCAATATAGATGGAGCAATGTCCTCCTCGATCTATTTTATCAAGTTCATGCAGGCACTTTGAGGGAAATGAAGCAAGGCCTGGGTATACCTCATCAGCAACGAGCACCCGAGCCCTTGTGAGAGCGACAGAACACAGCTTTCAAAAGGCTGAGATCCGACTCCAAGGTAGTCTCAAGATGATGAAGGGAGTTTGCACCGAAACTGTACCTGAGAAAGGCAGTAGTTGCAGAAGATAGGGCGTGAGCATTCTCATACTCGTACATGGACGGGGATAGCGGATGACGCCATCCCAAAGCCTACTCCCAGAATTTTTCTGCAGCTGACTAGACTCCTATAGTGAAACAAAGAATCGGAGGAGATCGCCAAACCCCAGACTAGCGGTGGAACGATTCAGGATACATGCTCCGCTGGCAGAAGGAATTGGTTGGTGGTTGTGTTAAGAGGCATGGAGATGCAGATGACGATAACGCTGTGCAGTCACCGGAGACATGACAGAGTAGACGGCCGCATGCTTTGAAATGTAAGGTAGCCACTGGAGTAAGTCGAGAAGCCCAGACTTAAGATAAGCGACGGTGCTGGTTGTATAGACAGACTGGGGCACTCGGGTGGGAGGATCAAATGGTCAACTTGGGAACGCCTAATTTATCGCCTTCTTTCTTCACTCTTCCTCCTTCACCTTGCTTCGGGCTCCTCACATCTTCCATCTCCCTTTCTTTCCATCTATCCTCGACATCGCCCATACATACTATCCTGCTGAATCCTGATCCACTGCATGTGTTCTCCTATCAGGCGCCCCGTCTCCGCGCCTCTTCGCGGCGAATCCACCGATGCCACCAGTCAACTCGCCCTCTGTAAGTCCTCCGTTTGTTCCCCTGCAACCGAGCCATTTCCTCGGGATATCGCCGAGTTACAACCCTGGTCCTCTACGTCTGGGCTTGTACTTATCTGTCTTTCTCTGCAGGATGCCCCCTCCCGCTCGCCCTTGGCTCCTACGTCCTCTCATCAAGATCCCCGCGGCGACGCCCATAATGATAACGTGAACTTCTTGCGGTCTCGTGTGCGATCTCCGCCCGGTCCTTCCTCGTCCTTGATCGGTCGCCAGCTCCGCCGTCGACAACAGATTCTCTCCGGACTTGTCCCCGGGCTTGATATCGACCCGATGGACCCTGATGACGCCAGTATGCGCATGTCCGTTGAAATCAACCGTCGCATACCGATTCTGCGTCGACAACGCTCCGGCCCGAACGAAGAAAGTTACAGTACCATGAACAACAGCAACCTATATGAAGGTCGGGTCTCGAATCCGCGTACACTCTATGGCTGGGCTCCGGCATCCGACGACGAGGAGTATGTCTCTCCGGCTTATCCGCCAATACAGAGCAACGCACTCTCTTCATGGCTAGGCCGACTTTCCGAACGCAGCACGTCGCGACGTTCCGCACGCCGTAACCCCCAAACAAATCCCGGAGACGCGATCGAGAATAGTCATCGATCAAATGAGACCGGATCGTCCGTAGAAGCGCAACCACAGTCAATACCTCGTCAACCCAGATTCTCCCGAGCACGACCGCTCCACGACTACCTTCTCGAACGTGTGGAAGACCCTCGCGACAGGTCTAGCGCAGCCGCCTCTTCTCGGGCTTGGCGACTTCTTCCCAGCGGCCGCAGCGAGCCACATCGCACTCTTACACATAATGACCTCCGTGCGCGGGTCAGCGCCCATCGACAGTTGCACTTAGAGAACCCTCCTAGCCCTCGGCTGAAAGAGACCATCCGTTATCTAGACCGGTTACGCTACTCGAGCTCGTTTGAGGAAAGTCTGAGGTCGGCGGCCGCGGGGGGATTTGTCGAATTAGATCTTCTTTCCTGGGACGAAGACGACTTTATCCTCGACACCTCCTCATTATGTCCTCCACCAGAGTGCTCCTGGCTTCGCCCGGGCATGACCTTTTCGGGGTGCCAGAGAGCCGCAAGCACCGCCAGCGTCATACTTCCCCAACAGGCGTCCAGTTCATCTAACGATCCCATGATAGTAAATGGCAATGACCAGAATCGCATCAGCATACAAACAACGAACGGAAGACGATATCTTGCTAGTCAAGTTTACAACATAGGGCGGACCGGAAAGGATGAGAACTGGCCGGTCAAAGTAACCATCCACGACATCAACACCCACGATATGACCCTATCAGGGACCATGGAGGCGTACAATATCCCCGACAAGACGTCGCCATCGCACGACGCCCACATTGTGACGTTCCTGGAGGGAGAGATCATCGACTTCAACTCACATACCTTAGAGACGAAGAATTTCCAAGCGGATGCTGAGATTGACAGCACGTACTGGCGGGAACTGCAGCCGTTCAAGGACCTAACAGATGAAGAGATGACCAGGAATCTGGTGTCCAGAAAATGGATTACAGAGGAGCTGTGCAAGAGCTGGATACTGATGCGTTGGAAGGGTATGTTCAAATCCTAGCACCCTCTGATCTGCATAAAATCATAGTGATTCCTGTCTTCGTATCAACGATGGCCGTGCAAACCGGCTAGTATGACAGGCCCACCTTGATTATATGCAGGCCAGGGGGTGTACAAGCCCTTCCCTTCACCATCTATAGTTGACTGACAAAGAATCACAGAACGATGCTTCATAACTCCCACAGATGCACGGCAAGGTCTCACGATATCAGGCTTCTACTACATTTCTCTGCACCGCGAAACCGGCAATATTGAGGGCCTCTATTATGACCCAGGCAGCTCACCTTATCAGCAATTATCCCTAAGACCGGAGACCAAAATGATGACCCGACCCTCGTACAACTTCCGTTAGTTACGGTTTTTTTTTTTTTTGCTGCTGCGAATTGCTTCAGTGTCTGCTTTCGCTTGAAAGGCGTTCGGCTTGGGATGTCCTGATACAATCTGCATACCTGGTGTTGTCCATTTCCGATTGCATCTGTATGGCTTTTCAAAGATATCTAGAAGCTGGTTTAGCTTGGGAATACTAGTCTACTATCTGTACCTAGGTATAGATAACACAATGAACAAGTCATACACCTCACCTCAGTGAACAAGGCAGTCTACAAAGAAGGCACATGCTTGTCAATCCTTTCTTTCAGATTTTCATAGATAGATAGATCTCAATCCACAACAGCCAAGATCGGTACCGTAGTACATAGAAAAGACATGACCCGACCGAATACCCGCCAGCAGACAGATAGTTAAATCCTCCCAGCGCATCCAAATCACATCACATCAATCCTCCACCCCTGGCCGCCGCAACCGGAATGAGCCAATCTACTGCTCAGTCTGGAAGTAGTTGAGGAGGACAGAGCGCTCCTGGCTCTCCTCACCCCAGTCCTTAACAACAACGCAAGAGCAGTTGACGACCTTGCGCGCGTTACCCTCACGGTCGAGCTGGCCTGCATCACATAATCAGCAACGGTTCATGTAATACGCCTCCGGCGATTCAACTTCAGCCTCCGGCAAGGGAAAACATACAAAGACCAACCCACTCGCCGAGCATCTTTCCGTCGGGGACCTTGATCAGAGGGATCTTGTGCTCGGAGCAGAGAGCGATAACGAGCTTCTTGTAGGCCTCCTCCTCGCAGCCCTCGTTGAGGACGCACATGTGGGCCTGGCGACGGTCGAGGGCCTTGGCGGCCTCACGGAGACCGCGGGCAAGACCGTCGTGGATGAGGGAGATGCGGAGGACACCCTTGAGGGCGTCGAGGACCGACATCTGGCCGGTGGCGCCGGTCTCGGCGGGGACCTCGACCTCGTCGGCGGCGACGGGGGGGTTGGATTGAGTCTCTTCTCCGTCCGACTAGAGTGGGAAGAAAAGTGTTAGTTGGGGTTTTTTGGTTCTGGGTTTGCTGCGCCGATTGAGGCGAGCTTTTCCCGACTGGACGAGAGTGTACGCACCATTTTGATGATGTGTTGATACGACGATTGAATGTCGGAATATCCTCGAAGAGTGGTGGTTGTGGTTGGAATCTGAAGATTGTGGGCGGTGATGCCAATTTCTCTCGCCTAGACCTATCCGTGTGCCCTACGGCTTAGTCATCTGCACGTGCGTGCGATACTCTCCGTATGATCACGTGCTTCGTACTACTATATGCTGAGACTTGGTGATTTCAGAATGTATTTCTGGCGCAGTCTCGGACTGCTCATCTATCCAACTACTGGTCGTGTATCACGTCACACAGAGGTATCATAGTCATACATGCAAGGAAAATCGTCCACCTGTACAAGGGATGCGGACTGGCAGAAAATCAGACGTATGTACTTGGCCGGCTGTGCACATAGCCATTAGTCAGAGGTTGCTCGTGGGGAAGTCCAGAACTCTCCTGCGGTCCTTCAATATGCCCATTTGGTAGAGGTGGCTGAGAGGAAGGGTCGAAACCAGGCTCTCGGTCGATATGCATCTTCAAAAACTGAATGTCCAGTCCATGAAGGTGAGGAATGTGCGGGACAAGGTCCATAAAGTCGGAAAGCTAGTAAAGTTAGTACATGTAGAGATGGGACAAGAGGCGAACGAAACGTACCTTAACCCAGAAAACATGATCCATATCGAAGTACTTACTCCGGGTCTCGCTATCCTTCTGCATGATCTGTCCAAAGGACGCCGTCAGGAACTCGGTATCGTCCGCCTGCACAAGCATTCGCCGTGTAACCCGCCACAGGTTCATCCGCTGGGTCGGGGTTACATTGCGCTTCTCCCAACCAGAGTACTGGGACAGTTGAAGGTCATTTGTTGCTAGCAGCGGAGCAACGAGGTAATTCGGAACCCATCTCTCACTGGCGACGTCTGCACTGCAGTCAGGATCAAGCTGTTTGGTTTCGGCTGTAACCACTGGCATGAACTTCTTCAGCCATGAGTGAGCGCGTGATTGGGGATCGTTGGATCCGACCAGGTTGGCCGCTATACAAAGGCGGCTAGGAAGTGCATCGCGTCGTCGTTGCTCATGCGCTTCTTGCTCCCTTCGCAGTTTGGCAAGCCGCTGCCTTTCTTGTTCAAGGCGCTTTTGATGCTCATCTTCTGCTTGCTTGATCCGTCGCTGCTCGGCGTCCTTTCGCTTGCTTTCTTCCTCCTTCTCCTGGGCTACACGGGCCGCCCGGGCTGCTCGTTCCTCCTCATCTTTCTGAGCACGAGCTCTTTCCGCTTCGACGAACCGTTCTTCCTCCGCCAGCCGTTTTTGTTCTGCCTTGTCTGGCATCGTTTGCCTAGCAGTTTCACTAGGGGAGTTTTGTGGCTCAACTTCACCATCAGGCTCAGCTGGTAGAACGAGTTCGGGTTTCGAGATGGGAACTTCTTTGTCCGTTTCCGCCTTGGCATCTTCCATTGGAATGTCAGCCAATTCGTGCGGCAAGTGCTTATCCCGCTCTTCTTTGACCAAGTTTCGGTCTTTGGAGGGAGCCACACGTGAGTCCTGAGAGCGATCCCTTTTCGATTCACTAGAACTAATGCCGAGCTTTTGCCGCGGAGGTGACTTGACATCATCAGCTGCAGAGGTATGTTGCCTCTTTAAGCCTCCATTGGTAACATTGGGCGCCCCTTCCTCTGATAGAACCCTTCTCTTTTTCTTCAACACATCACGATTATGACGCTCGGCTTCGGTTCCTCGAGAGCGAGGTCGCTCTGGACTAGCACTGCTACGTCCGCGTTTCAATTGCGGGTTTCTAGAGGCCGGTTCGGAGGAACGGTCCGGACGTGGTTTGACACCGTCTTCACGGCTGGAGACAGAGTCTGACGAGGGCAAGCTGGGCACCTTGCGCTCCCGATCCTGTGGTGGTCGGCCCGCAATCAGGCGCCTCCTTTTGACGACATCCTCACCCCTGGATGGCTCGGCAGAGTCGTGCTGCGAGTGTTTCGGACGAGGTATGCCGGAGCTAGACTTCTCTCTAGGTTGAGCAACTCCTTTCTTCTCCCTTGGCATAGCTGAATCTTTGTCACGCGGGCCAGGACTGCCATTCTTTCTCGACCTGGCGGGAGAAGGGGACTCTCTGCGAACGTTGCGTTTGCTATCCGTCTCCTTCTCTCGCGCTCGACGGGGTGAGAGGTGATCAGGTTTGCGCTGCTTTTTGTTCTTCGAATATTTGTCATATGCCTCTTTGAGAGTGTCGTATTCTTCTTCCCAGTTGTCTGCCCTGCGTTTCCTAGATAGTTCGAAATATGTCAGGCCATCGTAAAGACGACGAGTCGGATTAAACCGCTTCTGGTCGAGGAAAAGTTTAATAACAGCGAGGTTACCACGGCCAATGGCAGCAAGCATCGGAGTGTTATGTCCGGTTTTCAGTGAAGATAATGGCGCGGGATCAGGATCCGCATCGCCCATACCAAGAAGAAGGGACAACACCTCGTCATGACCACCCTTGGCGGCAGCGATCATCGACTCCGTATCGGCTTTTTGTCCAACGTTAAGGATATTCGCAACGCCCATGATATCACCCTTCGCAGCAAACGCTTGTAGATTTTCCGGAGTAGCCTTGGTCCACAGCAAGTCGTTCCTGGTGGCTTCACTCCGCACGCTCTTTCGCTTTGTCGCCATAGTGCCGGAATATGGAGGGCTGCGTTGACCACTAGCTGGGGGCGACTCGCGCGGGCTAGCACCTGAGATCCGCCGCGAGGATGATTCCCGATTTGGAGGCGCAGTTGTCTCTTCTGACCTGCGGTTGGTTGGTCGCCGATTGGCCTTTGCTTCTTCCAACAAGCGTCGAATATCATCGCAGTCATCGGGAACAAGATCGCTCGGCTCGTTACCTTGTGAATTCACAGCTCGTGGGTTCGCGCCAGCTTTCAGGAGAATCTTCACTACGTCTTCGTGACCGTTTTCCGCCGCATCAATTAACGGAGTGTCTTTGTCAATGTTGGAGGTCTCAACTTCACACCCTGCTTCAATCAGGTATTCAACAATAGGCGCACACCCTTCCAGGGCCGCTATCTGTAAAGGTGTGTTTCCTGCGTTATCGGGCACATTCAGGTCCTCTGGGCGTTCCTCGTGTCTCTGCTTGACTTGATCCAATTCCTGGGCCGCACAAGCACGCGCCAACCGGGTTCTGCCGTTTTGATCGCGAATCTTCTTATAGTTGGTGGGCCTAGCCGGAGACGCTGAAGCTCCGTCACCCGATAGAATCTTTCGCGCATATGCATTGGGCATTGGAGATCCATTTGCGGATGAAATCGATTGTCGATCCTCCGAGCTTTGCCTTTGGAACCCAGTAACGAGGGCAGCGGGCGCCTTCTTCTTCTTTCCGTTGGTGAACTGTGGGCCAGAAGCTGTTCGCTTGTGAGCCTGACGAACCGGCGAAACCGAACGATCGGTGGAGGGTCGAGGAAAGTTGACTCCATTGCTCAAAATATGATCCTCCCGGCTTCGAACAGGTGAGTCCCTATGACGTACTGGGCGAGGAACATCTGATTCGCCATTGACACTCTCACTAAAGCTCCGCTTCCTTGATGTTTTTGTGGTCTCAGACCTGCTTGAGATAGACCGAGAGTCGTCAAATTTTTCCAACTTCACAATGGGCGGTGATCCATCTCTCCATTGAGGACTTGACTGACGCGGCTCACGGTCGCTTCTATCATGGCTGTCATCATCCACAGGTTTGTTCTTCCTCACCTGAACGTCGCTTGGGGGCAGTTCATTGTCGCCAATACGGCCACTCGCTTCATCATCACGTCGTTTCGGTTCATGTCTGATAAACTTTCGTCTTTTTTCCGGGGACAAAGACTCGCGACCGGACTGAATTATGGTTTCTGCCTCCGAATCAGCTTTGGGGCTTGGGGGCCCTTCCCCCTCATCAGCAGCAGAGTCTACCTCCTTCGCAGAAACATTTTCACTCCGAGGGGCAGGTGGAAGCGTTGTTTTCCTAGGGGAAGGCGGCCCTAAGGCGGGTTGACTATTCGCCTTGACAGCAAACGCGTTCTGTTTTCCGGGATCCAGGACAGCCGGCAAGGGAAAAGTGTCAACATCACTCATAGCGGTAACACTCGGCTTCTTGGGGTTCTGCTCGACATTTTCGGGAGCCGTAACGGACAAGGTGACTTGGGGACCAAGGACACCAGCAGTTGGGCGCGGAAGCCGGTGGTCGACCACGCTAGGTAAAGACAGTTGGGGGTGGACAAGTAGCGGTGGATGAATGATGACTGTTTTGAAAAGGTCGAAGAGGTCGAAAGGGCGAGACTTCGAGCGGTTCAAGTCTCGTCGAGTACACGCAACGGTCGGGTTTGTTTAGAGGTGGATGGCGAGTGGCGGACGGATGGGAGGAAGAATCGAACAAAGAATGGTCGTGAGGATAGGATGAGATGAGAATCGTAGTTAGATAAGGGCGAGAGCGAGAGAGGACGGACGATGTTAGGAAGTTGGGAGAGAAAGGAAGGAATGGAGTGCAGAGTGCAGAGGAAGAACTGGAATTGGACTCTTAGCAGCACTCTGGCTGGGTCTGGTCTGAAACTACTATGGGTGTTGTGGCAGCCTGAGTCCTCAGGCCACTTTAGAGCAGACCATGGTCGTAATTATTATTTGATTCGTTATTCTGTCTTCACGGCAGCGTTCACTCTCAAGAGTTTGCGCAATATTCAGGGAAATCAAGGCAGTTTCTTCAGCATTGCAGGTTTGGCACTGCGGAGTGTGTAGAGCACTCGAGGCTGGAGCAGGTTTGCCCAGTTTTGGCTGTCGCATCACGATGATACTGTCTCGTCAACCAAAATCAGACCAGTCCCTTAGCTCGCAGCTCTCGAGGCAATAATCTTCGGTCTCGTGTCAATCACTTAAAAACGGGAGACTCTTCTTGCGAGCTGCGGACCACGGTCCCATATTGCCTGCAGTTCCCAGACCGGTCAAACATCTGAGTACGGTGCTGCAGCCGAATCTCCATGGATGGTTCTGCGAATACGCAAAGGCTCAAGGCGAGCGGGGGATGCCGGCACTCGGATGAAACGAAGTGGCGGAATCATGAGTGAATCACTCTGAACCAGAGCTTTCGATCTCTTTTCTGGTGTGCAATGTGCACCACTCATCGGCCACCCTTAAGGCCTTCAGGGGGTTTCCCTGGATGCCCGCCAAGCTAGGCATCCACATACTGGCCAATGGCAAGCAAATGTGCCATCGTCTATCCCGTTTTCGCTTAGACAATTCTGAACCAGCCCACTTGATCGGCCTCTTGCACCACTCACATTTTGATGCTCTCCCAGCTTATCGCCCCGCTCTTCAGATAATACGGGTTGCCCCCCCTTTTCCTCCGATCGGCCTGGAAGTTGCCGCCTTCAGATGTGAGTCACGGGACGACTTACGGAGCCGGGAGATATGAGGGGAACCTTGAGGTCCCGTGACTGGCATAGACGGGATAGATGCGGCCATTATGCAGTCATCCAGTCGACTCCAGGTGGGTGAGATTACACCTGCAACCTTTTCAGAGATGCCGGCTATTGGCACACTTTGCTCGGCTCACTGTAATCGTGGACGCGTCCGACGTGATGGTTGTCGGTGGGTGAACACTCGCTCGCAGCGTATCGTAGTCAAGTCCGAGACCTGGCCGTGTCTCGAGCCGAGCATCTCATCGTCATTCTTCTTCCATCCCACCGCTGTTGACAAAATAAGGGCTCTCAACAAAATCTCGCGGCTCTCAAGGGAGCAGGGAACATGGATGTGATGAATTGCTTGATTGACTCTGGCCTCTCCGCAGCAAACATGGATGCAGTCGACGCCCTCCGAGCCTTCTTCATCCTCGCAGCTTGCACGGTATGAGCTGCATCGGCGTCACCGACGGTTTTCTTCTAGAGTGACCAAAACTAAGTCTTCCAGATTCTTGCTGTTAGTCTGCCAGACTCGCTTCGGTCGCGCTTCGTCCCCTACGGTGCTCGTGCGACATCGACAGCTGCAGCCGAGTCAGAGACCTCCGCGACCGCGACCGCAACCTCGACCTCCGAATCGACCTCAGCCTCGTCCTTCAGCGCATCCCCGGTGACACGCGCCCTTGATTACGCCGCCACGCTGCGAGTCCCTCACAGTTATTTCATCCAGTTCTACGTCATCTCGGTGCTGTCGTCGATCTTCTGGGCTTTGCAGCTGCTGTCTCACGGCCGCGCGTTCCAGGCCATCGCAGCTCGAATCCGGCCGGAACACTTGGACCCAGCGGTCTCGATCAACCAGGTCATGCTGTGCTGGAGCTTGCTGCTGATCCAGGGGGTGAGACGGCTACATGAGTGTCTGAGCTTTTCCAAGCCTTCGGCGTCCAAGATGTGGTTCGTTCATTGGCTCGCAGGTGTCGGGTTTTATTTGGCTGTGGCCGTTGCGGTCTGGATCGAGGGCGCAGGTGGGTTTGGAATATTCTTTGGGTTTGAGGCGTCTGTTGATTGGTACCGCAGGAACGGTTCTCGCTCATCGACTGAGTCTGGACGATTTCAGTCTGACGAGCCGCTTCTCGGGTCGCACGCTTTTGAGTCTCCCCATCTTCCTCGTTGCATCTGGTATTCAACACGACTGCCACCATTATCTGTTCTCACTGAAGAAGTACACCTTACCTACTCACCCCATGTTTAGTTGGATCCTGTGTCCGCATTACACGGCCGAGTGCATAATTTACCTATCCCTTGCCTTGCTGGCCGCACCGGAGGGAGAGATATTCAACAAAACATTACTTTCCGCTGTCTGCTTTGTTGCTGTCAATCTCGGCGTCACGGCATCGACAACCCGACAATGGTACAGACAAAAGTTCGGCGAGGGCGCAGTCCAGGGCAAGTGGAATATGATTCCGTTGATATACTAGTCGTCAGCCTAAATTCACCGAATCCGTCCATCTCCATCAATGCCTATTCAAAAACTTCATCGTACTCCCCAGCTTGGCCACCTTGAGCACATCCCGATACGTCAGACTCACCCTCGTCCCCCTCTCACACTCCCCCTCGGCGAACCGCTCCGCATCCCCCAATAGCTCCCAGTTGCAAATCGACTCCGGCCCCAGCTTTTCCTCCCTCTCCCGTTCCGCAATCCCATGCAGATAATCCCTGTAGATGCCGCCTCTCGTAACAAGCAGACTGCGCCTCTCCTGCAGAATGCGGAATTTCGGCTGCCGAGTCCTCCCTCGTCCTTGTTCTTCACCATCACCATCATCATCATCCGCGGGGCTATGCCCCTGGTCCTGATTCTTCTCATACAGATCCAGCACAACAACACCCCCAAGACTCACCGTGGCAACAAGCGGGTAATACGCAGCCCCGTCTTCATGCGGCATGATGCCCTGGCCCGGCGTGTACTCGTTGACCAGGACATGGTTGGGACCCTTGTGCGGGGCATCGTCGAAGAGGGATAGTGCGGCGAAGCGCTCGAGGATCGGCGGGCTGCTTGTCAGCCAGGACGGGAGGGGCGCAGCAAGCAGTGTGTTGGTCGCGGTTAGAGCGTTCGGGTATGTCTGTAGGCGCCGGTGGGAGAGGTGTTTCCAGGTTGGGAGGGGGGCAGACGATATCTGTTGTTAAGGTTAGGCGGCTGGGCCATGGTCGGGTTGGCGATCTGATATCGGGGTTGGATTGGATGTGGAGCAGGGAAGGATGATGGATGGATGGATGGCGGGGAGTGAGGGGTTGGGGGTTCGAGTAGGACTCGGGATGACGATCATGATAGCGGATGATGCCATGCCATGCTCATGCTCACGTCCGAGGAGATAGATGCTCCGGCAGGGTTGAAGCAGGGTTGTATCATATCATAATCCCAGTGTATCAAATCCAAGGACCAACAACAAAAGTACCAAGCATACCTTCGCCAAAAGCCTCTCCTCTTCCTCGCGCGATACAAAGTCCGGGATGTAAAAAGCCTCGCCCGGTAGCCGTTGGATGCGGGCCGCCTCCAGAGCCTTAGCTTTCTCGTTCAGTTCCTCCTGGGCCGTCATGTTTGTGATATATGTGTGCTAGCTTGGTCAGGAATTGATTGGAGAGAAGTAGCAGATACCAGGACCTCAGATCGCAGACTAAGGGACGGCGCGATGTTCCAAACAGACACTGGCCTATCGGGGCACGCCCAGGACGAGCCAGCATTGATGCATCAGATCAGATCAGAGTGCCGGCAGTCTGGAGGCAGGCTTTCCAGAATCCAGACTTTTGCATCCTGTATCCCTCCTGCGCCGTACCCCGGAAGAGGTTTCGGGTTGATGCAGTCATGTCTACAATCAGCTAGGCGTGCCTCTAATGCTTGATGCCAGTCACTCCTCAGTAGCTAGGTAAATCTAAATCTTATCATTATTAACCGAGATGGATAGATGCGACAGCCTGCTAACAAAGAAACCCCAGCAAAGCCGAGAAATAACAAATCAATCACACCAATAATATATATTATTGTAGACCAGCAAAAGGACCACGGTCCATCTGCCTCAGGCCGATTCTCCCCACCACCCCACCTGGGCTTGCCAGTATTCAATCTCAGTCAGCGCCGCAGCTCATACATCGAGCGTACAGCTTCCTATAAGAGATCCCTCCCACCCCTCCTGTCACCATGGGCAAAAACAACGCCAAAGCCAGCGGCGGCGACAAGAAAGCTAAAGGCAACCAGAAAGGTGGCGACGCAAAGGGCACCGACAAGGGCAAGATGAAGGGCGGCCAGTCAATCAATGTGCGACATATCTTGGTATGTCTGCTCTCTCCTTCGACTTCTCTTTGCCTTCTCTTCTGTTTGTTGCATCATGAAGACGGTGCTTGATAGTGGGTTGAAGTGGGTATGGTAGGCTTTGAGCCGTTATACATACGCCCCAGGGCATATGTATACCGCAAAGCTACCCTGTATGTGACGTGGGCCTGCCTCACTTTGCTGGGCCCATAGGATCCGGACGTGCCTATGTCATAGCATATCATATGCATATGCATAGCATCATTCACATCCTAAGCCATGTGCACTCTATACAGTTAACCAAGCAATGCAAGACAGAGAAAGACAGCTGACAAGGGACTGCTCAGTGCGAGAAATTCTCTAAGAAGGAGGAAGCCCTCGAGAAGATCCGCAACGGGTCCAAGTTCGACGATGTTGCGCGGGAGTACTCGGAGGACAAGGCCAGGGCTGGTATGTATTGCAGCTCCTTCATTTTGCATTCTGTTTCCGTGGACGCCGTGCTGGCTGTGAAAGCGGGTACTCATGCAACTACAGGCGGCTCCCTAGGCTGGAAGAACAAGGGCGACCTCGACCCTAGCTTTGAAGAGGTTGCGTATGGTCTGGAGGAAAGTTCGACTGGGAAGCCGGTGATTGGGGAGGCGAAGACTGGGTTCGGGTACCATATCATTATGGTTGAAGGGAGGAAGTAATTGACTCACTTGCTGTTCGAGGATGGATACGTTTATATATCACTGCTTACTAGTACTCACTACCCAGATTCATTTGTATGTAAACAACCAATATTCAATAATGCTTGATGAACTGGGAAAAGGAATCTATGTCTACATGCAAATGAAACCTAGTTATATGACTTAACCTGGATTACTCTGACTTCTTCGCCCTGGCCGCTTTAGCCTTTTTCTCCTGCCGCTGAACAGCAGCCTCAGCGCCAATGCCGCCAAAAACAAGCCCAATTCCCAGCATCTGCCCAGGGGACAGAGAGTGGCCGAACGCAACAACACTCACGACCATGGTGAGCATCTTGCGGGTAACGGTCACCGTCACCAACAGCAGAGACGAAAAGTTAGACAGGGTATAGAAGATGAATACCTGCCCAACGGCACCGGCGAGGGAGAACCCAAGTACGCTTTTGAGGACCTCAGGATGACGGGTCAGAAACGAAACAGCTGCTGTTAGTTCGTTCTCGGTTGAGGGTGGGATGGGAAAGGGCAGGATTGCGTGGATAATGCCCGTTGAGGAAAGATGGGGCATGACCAGGAGGTATACCGAAGTCAAGACGGTAGAGAGGACGTTCTGCGCAACCATCATCTGTGGGCCCGTGAAGCGAGTGTACAGGTGCGGGGAGCTGAAGATGTGGTCTTGCGTGGTGTTGGTGAGTCCGTCAAGCAGGAGGTTGATTGAGAGTAGGAAGATCCCCCATGCCGACGAGCCCGAATCTGCGGCGGCGGACGCAGCAACCTTCTTGCTTGTTCCGGGGTGGTGCAGGGTGAAAGTCGCAACGCCGAGTGTGACCAAAAAGACGACACCGTACTTGTACAGCGGGTAGCTTTTGCGGAAGATGGTCAGGTGAAGGAACATGACCGGGAGAAGCTTGCATGATTTGGCAAGGATAAAGGTGAGATAGTCGATGTGCGCGAGGCTTGCATATCCAAATGGCGAGGCGAGAGACGAGCAAATACTGACGAGGACGAGAGGGAAGACAATCTTGCGTGTCGGGAAGACGGAAGGGACCTTTTCGCCCTTGGAAGTGGAGAAGTACAGGTATAGAAGGCCGGAGACCGCGGAAAAGATGGACTGGATGGTGTTCAAGAAGATCGAGTATGTGAAGCGCTCAGTTGGCGGTTTTGGGTCGGCTGCCGTAGGAGGGCGCTCAGGGTAGGAGCCTGTGGTGATCGCTTCTTGAAGGTAGCCCCAGAGCAGACTAAAGAGTTAGTACAAGTATATGAGAGAGGATGCTAGACATACAATGAGGCATAGATTCCCCCGACACCAATCAGGAGTTGCCGCAAACCAGGACCGTCTGCGGCTTCGTTTGCCTCCGCGCCTTGGTTCGCGACAGCTGCTTGCGCGCCATTCTGCTGTTTTTGAGGTGAATCGGCTGGAAGCATATGCATCAGCTCCGAGGACGTGGCGCGTTGGATGGGCGCTGCTTGTTTCTGGCGCGCCATTGTTGGAGTAAGGACGATTTGAACAAAAACTAAATATATATGTATTCAGGGTTCTAGAAAGACAAGAGTCGACAGACCACGACCATGGCCAGGTGGGCTATAGAGAATTTATAGTAACACTCGAGGAAGTGAAACAAGAGCCAGGGGCCATGAAGCCAGATAGATCATTGACATGGAAACTCCGCTTATCTCCGCCCAAATTTTATCCCACCGCCCTCTCCAACTCAACACCACCTCTGCATCCACTACTCCGTACATCTCTCTGGATAGTAAATCCGATAGCCAGTGATTCGGAAACCCGGATAAAGACAGACAAGATGGCAACCCCAGCTACATCCTCGATCCCAACACCCACTCCCTCCTCCCTCAGCAACCGAATCTCCACCTCCACCGACGCGAACCCCGTCGCCGCAACAACCCACCAAGTCCTCCACAGCCTGCAGCACCAACACCAATGGACATCGCTCCAGATCCATGAGATCGACACGAAATTTTCAATCCCCTTGATCTCGGGCATCCCGCCGCACCGCGTCTACACGCACCCAGACGAACAGCTGTACATGGTCGAGCGGGGCCTGCGCGAGGAAGACGTTGAGCTGGATCGCATGTTTGTTTTGCCCACTGTCCAGGGTCAGGCATGGAGTCTTGAGAGAATGGCGGCTGTGTTCGATGCGCTGCCTGAACCTGCTGAAGAGAACGAAGCTGAGGCGGAGGTGGAAGAGCAGACTGAGGCTTCAGAGGCTGTGGATGCGGACAAGGCTGCGAAGTTGGCCGAGTACTACGAGTATCGGGCCAAGGCGCGTCGTACAGGGGAATGGGGTTCGAAGAGGTTGCTTTTGGCCGTGATTGATAAGGGAATGGGAGGCGATGGAACGGTCGTGTACTATGTTGTTCAGGAGGGAACTGTCAAGCCCAGGCAGAACTAGGGTTTCGCTGCGCTAGTTCGATTATCGGTGCTATATACCTATGTACAGTTGTACAGCTGGGAGTGCATCCGATGCGCTCCTTCGTACGTTCGACAGATGGAAAAACTGTCTGTCCTAACCGGGTATCATGATCAAGCTGAAGTCGATTGCACTACCTCCGTCATTCTGGAACCGCCGCGACAATTTGCTCCTGCTCCTTTTGGCAGCTCGAGCAATATGTTTCATACCACTGCCTAACGTCGCCGTTGAGTCCTCCCAACACAGTCTGACCTCCCTCTGTCCCGCTCATTTCATCAGCATCTGCCCCTAGCAGGTCTTCAACCTGGCGGCAGCGTCGCAGCTCTTGCTGAAGCCAACGTTCCCACTCACTTTGGAGGACTTCTTTCTCGATGCTGTTGATCACGCGGAGCGCAACGAGCAGGTTGTATCGATACACACCGAGCCGTTCGCGAGTCTGCTGGACCCTTCTAGCCGCGCCCCGGGCTACTGCTTCTCTCCTGCTGGAGGTGCTGAGGGACATTGGCGCAGCAGAGTCCCGTATCGTCTGTTGCTGGAATGTATAGAAGCAATCGCTAACGTTCTCACTTGTTTGTCCGACAGTGGCGTTGGCGATTTCCTCGTCGATATCACGCATGTAGATAGCTTTGCTCATAATGTGATCAGGATGAATGCCCATACGAGTCATAAAGTCTCCAACGTTCCGTTCCTGCCACCATTCAGATGTAGCCCGCGTCGAGTAGAAACCATTCAACAGCACACTGGATGCAAGTAGCGCAAGGATGATTTTGTTAGCATTTGCAGTCTTGAAGACCCAGCGTAGGGTGCCAAAGATCCAGATTATTATGGATGAAATGGCGCTCTGAAGGAACGACACGAGCGTCTCGTACAACATCTGGAATAGCGTGCGCTGAGTACGCGGTCTGCGACGCTCAATCTTCGCATCCGGGTCAATGTTGAATTGCGATGTAAGGGCCTGTCGTCCGACATGGCCGAAAATCGTGATGGCTTTCTTGGTTCGGCTGTGTACACCGAGCTTCCGCACCTGGTCTCCGACAAGATCGACGAGGTCCATGGCGTCTTCCTCCAAGTCATCCATAGCCTGTTTGTCAATCACACCTACAGCGTCTTAGCATTGCTCAGTCATCAAAGAGCCCGTAAACTTACGCTGAATGCCATACGGTGACCATAGCCATTCCACTTTCGTATAGACCGAGAGCTTACACTTCCCCTTTGCAACAAAAGTGATCACAATCTTATTGACCAGCCTGAAGTTACGCCTGAAAGGAAGATGCCATGGGGTTCGCTTGTCCGTAATCACATAACACAAGTGGTCATTGAGAACATCGATCAACTGGTAATCAGATATCGCCTTCACATCAGTCCGACCTATTATGTGTCAGCGAGGTAAATAGACCTACATAGTAAGTACTTACCGAGCACATCCGCCGTCTCGATCTGATATTGAAAATCACGCTTCAAATGGCGGGAGTCGTCCCTAATCCAGGGACCCTGCTTGATATCTAGAGATCGTTAGTATAATCTGGCAGTATATTAAACATGCGTTGCTTACTTTGGGCTCGTCTTTGGTACAAAAGGAGCTGCCACACAGCGCTCTTATCACCGAAAAGGATATGAAAGACGGCCTTTGTGCTAAGATCGAACTCCTTTTCTGCGGCAAGATGCAGATCCCCCTGTGGAACATACTGCACGGGTTGAGTTGGAAGTCTGAACTTGGGAGCATCACTGCCAGCCCTAGCCCGATTCAAATCCAAGTTCTTGTCAATGTAGATCGATGGTCGCATGATAGCCTTCGGCACATCCTCAGGTTCAGTCAGCCTATCTCCTGCGGCCACGTCTTCCCAGCTGTCCAGGCTGGGTGTTCGCGTAACCTGCTCAGTGATCATTTTGTTGAGGGACTTGAAGATTGCTTCTAACTCCATAGGTTCGACAGCTGTTGAGTCATGAATCAGGAAATTCAACCGCCTTTGGAGGACCTTGAGCGGCTCGAGGAAAGTCTTCACCGTGACTCGACCGGGGGTGTCGTTTCCGGGTGGAGGAATAGTGTGCAGGAAGAGGAAGTCACAGTCTCTTCCAGGAGCTCCTGTAACTTCCTTAATCTTTTCCAAAGAAACGCTCGTCGTAAGTACCAGGCCAAAGTAGTGGCTGTAAAAGTAAATGTTACGAGTAGTAACGTAGGCCCTTCCGGGAAATTCTTGCTGCTCGTTAGGGTTCCACGTGGCCCTGAATACCAATACTAAAGGTTCCTCCTTTTTGACATTAGGAAATAGAAGTCGGAATTGGGCGTCCTGCATCTTCAGTTGCGGGGGATAGTACTCGGGGTACTCGTGCGCAATGCCCATAATCGCCCGCTGCACCTTTGAAGCGTCGCCGTCCAAGCTGACCGTTGGCCTATGACGCGCTTTCACTTTACCACCTGCGGAGCCACCGGTAGTGTCCAACTCAGCGGTTTCTGGTTCCTGGGTTTGAAGTTTCTCTTCCGAGACCCCGGCATATTCAAGTTCCAATTTATTCATGAAACCCCAATTCGAGCTTCCCCACAGGTTCGCCATCATGCCGCTTGGCATACCTCCCGTCTTGTCGCCGAGACCTACCCCTAGACCCCTATCGTTGCTCACAAGCACAGCCGCCTTGCTCAGATTTGTAGGAGCTGGTGGATTGGCCAATGTCTGGGGCGTAAGAGTTGACGGGGGAAGTATCTTATTGGCGTCAATCTCGGTCGATAAGATAGCACTGTGACTGGCAGATATCAGGCTACTTATACCACCTGCGCCAGGTATAGAGGTAGAAGACTGAACAGCATTATTACCACGTCGATGAAGGTCGAGCTTCTGGATAAGTCGTGAGGTATGGTCCTTTGCAGGGCTTTCAGGGTCAAATGTCAGTCGCCTGTGGCCACTAAGATCACTACTGTTGCGGAAAGCCGAAGGGTCACGATCAGGCAGCGGAAGCATGCCGCTGCGGTCAGATGAGGTATTTTCATCGCTTACATTTGGCGTCAGGTAGTCTGCAGGGTCGGCGGCGAATTCAGGTGCCGGTGGTTGGGATATAGCAAATGCAGGATCCTGCACGGCAGGCTTCCCAATCACCGAGACATCAGTGCTTGACGGGTTCTCCAGTGCCTTTCGTTTCGCGGCTTCGAAAGCGGAGATCCAGTCCATGAGCTCTCTCTGGGTTTCAGCTTGAAGCATTATATTGTTGCTCTTTGTCTTGACCTCAAAGCAGAATCTCCGCTCCTCCTGGAAGGCGGGACGGATGCTACAAAGCAACACTCCAATTCTCTCGGTCTCTTCAACGCCTCCTGTTCGCATGCCCTGCACTAGGCAACCGAAGATTCCGTTCTTCAAGAAGGCCCAACGTTTAACCCACGTAGTGCGAGTTGGTTTGTTTGACAGCACGCGTAAGTTCACCCAGCCTTGTTTCTCGGGGCGGGCGTCTTTTGTGTCAAAGGACAAGGGACGCGAGCCGAGGTATGGGACCGTGGACACAGAGTAGTCTTCCAACTCACGGGATGGTCGAGCAGCAACCTCTGCGGCATCTTCAATCTGACTTCGGGCAGAAAAAAGCTCTCTTTTTGAGAACTTCTCGGTGCCCTCCATTTCGTGCACCCAACCCTTGATGCGGTCCATTTCCTGGCTCCACTTGGTAAATGCTCCTCCATGACTACTGTGAAGTGTCTTCAGCTCCCTCCATTGGTCAAAAGAAACGCGTATGAGCAGTCGGTCCAATGCGTTCCGTAATTGCGGCGCTTGCACAGAGAAATCCATAGACGCCTTGAGATAAGCTTTGCGGGCCTCGTGAAGTTGGAATGCGTCCTCCCTCAGAGCAGAGGGTTCTTTTGACTTCGATTGGGACGAGTATCTTGCTTGCAAGGTGTCGTACTGTTTTTGCGCGTGGTCAAGAATGCGGCGGTTCTCCTGTAAAGGGGTGAGCTGCCATCCAGCCAGAAATAGGGGAAGCATTCACCTTGAAACTCCGCAAGTCTTCCTGGATGAATTGTCTGATTGGTTCCGAAACCAGAGTTTCAATCTTCCGCGCTGCAAAGACCAAGCCATTCCACATGTCCTTGGAGCTCTCACCACATCTCCGCATTGCCGACAATGTGTAGTCATGATCCAGAATGGCCTCCGACACCATAAGGGGATTCGTGGAGTACGAGAGGAATGCGCCGACTATCCCCTCCAGAGCCGCGAGCTCTGTGGCAAGCCGCGATGCGGCCTTTGCGTAACCATCGAGCCATCGTTCGAGATATTCGATCTGGTCGGAGAAGTGAAGAGTGGTGGCACGGAACGTAGGCGAGTCGAGTGCAGCCTCTTTTAACCCTACAGGTACCACGCTGACCAGCTTCCCAACTGTCTGCGACATCTAGGAAGTTAATATAGTACTGTAGACATAACAAATAATGAGCATAGAGAAAAAGCAAGAAGGCCAACACTCAACAGTAAGGCGCTAGAAGCAAAGGCACCGCTTTCGAGCTATACGGATGACGGAGTAGGCCCCACCCCCGGCCATCGGTCTCATTGGTCCAATTTCTAAGTCGGTCTGGCCACGGTCAGCCTGTCCCCTCCAGTCAGAATAGTGGTGGACTTATTACAGTAGGCGGTGGGCTGCCGGTAGGCGGTGGGTAACTGGTATCACCAAGTTTTTCTTTCTGCCGCTTGCTGACTTTTTTTGCAGATACAAACAACCATGGAGCCGCCAACTAAGAGGTCGCGCAAGTTGCTTGAAGAGGATTCGTCCAGTGACTCTGAAGATGGGGCTGGCGGAGTCTCACTCAAAATTAACGAGGACTATGCTCGCCGTTTTGAGCACAACAAGAGGAGAGAGGAGATGCAGCAGCGTACGTATACATAGTTCACTTACGAACCATTAACTGCTTCCGTTTACTAATGATACTACAGTCGAAGCGAAGCTAGGCAAGTCCGAGGACGAGGAATCCTCCTCAGAAGACGAGGACGAAGACGACGATGCAGAACTCGCTACCGAAGCGGTGGACGCTGAGATCATGGAAACTATCAAGGCGATCCGGTCAAAAGACCCCCGAGTATACGACGCGAATGTCAAATTCTATCATTCTCTCGACGACAGCGCGGGACCGCAGAAACGGGAGGAAAAGCAGAAGCCCATGACCCTCAGAGACTACCACCGAGAAAACTTGCTTAGCGGTGCCAATGCTGCTGAGGATGAGTTGGATGCTCCCAAGACATATGCACAGGAACAGGACGAACTGAAGAGCGCTATCGTCAAGGAAATGCACGCCGCTGCCGATGGAGAGGAGTCAGGGTCTGACGAGGATGAAGATGAAGGATTCCTTGTTCGCAAGTCGGCACCTGAACCCGTCTCAGAAAGCAAAGGCGTCCCCGAAATCGATGTCGATAATGCGGATAAAGACCCCGAAACATTTCTTTCCAACTTCATGTCGTCCAGGGCTTGGCTACAGCATGGCAAGTCTCTTCAGCCATTCGAGTCGGATGACGAAGAAGAGGATGAGCGGGCAGAAGCCTGGGAGGAGGCATACAACTTCCGATTCGAGGATCCCAGCAAGTTGAACAACCAGTTGATTACTCACGCCCGTGATACGACCAACAAGCAGTCTGTTCGCAGAGATGAAGTGAGCGGCCGAAAGAAACTCAGAGAGGCCGCTCGGGCAAAGAAGGAGGAGGAAAAGAAGCAGCGCGAGACGGAAAAGAACCGGCTTCGCAAGCTGAAAATGGCGGAGCTGCAGGAGAAGGTCGAGCAGATCAAAGAAGTTGCGGGTCTCCGCGCCTCCGAGCTTACCGATGAAGACTGGGTTAAGTTCTTGGATGCTTCCTGGGACGACAAGGACTGGGAGGAAGAGATGCAGAAACGCTTCGGTGACAACTACTACGCCGGTGATGATGCTGCTGGCAGTGGAGATGAAGCGGATGGCAAGAAGAAAAAACCGAAGAAGCCCACTTGGGATGATGACATTGACATCAAAGACCTGGTACCCGACTTTGAGGACGACGAACAGCCCACCGCTGAGTTGTCCGACGTCGAAATGGAAGATGATGAAGGTGCAAATAAGAAGAGCAAGGCACAGGAACGCCGAGACCAGAAGCGTGAAGCCCGCAAGGACAAGATGCGCATCGAAGAAGCGTTGGACCGTAACCTGGATCTCGATATTTCACTCCTCCCCGGCACTACAAAGAGAAACGACTCTGGCTTCCGCTACCGTGAGACATCTCCTCAGGCTTTCGGTCTGTCCGCCTTGGACATTCTAATGGCCGACGATACGCAGCTCAACCAATTCGCTGGACTGAAGAAGTATGCTGCTTTCCGTGAAGATGAGAAGAAGCGACGGGATCAAAAGAGACTAGGCAAGAAAGCTCGGCTGAGGCAATGGCGCAAGGATACATTTGGAGATGAAGAGGGTCCGAGGGAGTCTATGTTTGGCAACGCGAAGCCATCTGCTCCGGAGCAAGACGATGCTGAAGAGAAGGTTGATATCCGTGAAGGGGAGCCTCGGAAGAAGAAGAGAAAGAGGTCAAAGAAGCATTGATGTATCATATGGCACAGTTTGTGTTTATTCAGTTTTATATCCACAGCCCTTGTCTAGCATAATGAGTGTTGCGACGTATATTTATTTTTAAATCATCATGGCAATGGTCAAGCTGGAAATTCTGAACATTCCACTCTCCAAATCATAGTTATCATTGTCGTGATGTACTCCGTATGTACGGAGTAGCGCCAGACCCTCGGGGCTTCAGCGGCGCAGCGGGTTTTGGTGGGTGCCAATTTTGGGTAAGGAATTATTCTTTACGGTAAATTGTACAACCCTAGTGGGTCTATCCGCCATTCCCAGATGCGATGGTGTCAAAGGAGGTCCGGGCACGAGGGCAAAAATTCAAGGAATAAAGGAAGCGAAAACTCTATGTTTGGGTCTCAGGAGCCCTCGAGTTCCCATTAGCATTGTTCATGAAATCATTCTAACCGCCGTTCGAGGTCTCGAATAGCAGTTCCGTGTCATGCATCAATATATAGAACCTGAAGTAGAGATATCAACCAGCTAGTTCAATAGGGAATGCTACTCCGCAATAGTAGATAAAACCCGGAGAAAATAGGCTTGGGGTAAACTACTACTTGCCATCTGACAATAACACAACCTCTGGCCTGTGTATAATCAATAGACACCTGTCCTGTTAGCCGGGCTACAGACCATGGTCGGGAAAGGTGGCCATTGAAACAGGCGGGCACAGATTATATGCAGGCCAGAGGATGTTCTTTTAGGCACACTTATCTATGCTCCAGAGCTCCGAAAGTCGCAAAGACGAGGCACATGATCATCTGCAGGCTGCATGGGCACGCATCTCTTGACTCTGTTATCATGGTTCGGTGAAAAGGGAGCCTTAACTGAGGGATTTTCCAATGCAGCATTTGCCGCTATCTAGAGGTGAAAATTCTTAAGATACCCATATATGTTGCCATCAATGCGATCAAAATTTGCAGGCCTAGGCTTGGTTGCCATCGGATACTCGGGAGAGAGGATCTCCAGTATGGAGGCTCTACCTACGGATGTCTCTGGCCCGATGGAGCGGAGCGGAGCAAGACTTAGGCGACTTGCTCAGTGTCAAGTTTGACGAATTGGCAAGAGTTATAGGGTTAGAGTATAGATTCTCAATTGGATCACTGTAATTTGCCGGTAAGAATTCCAGATCTCGAGGCATCTTTCTCGAACATCAACAATGTTTTCGGCTGCCTCAGATGGTCGGGAGATGTCGGACCGCCGACATTGGTTGCCCGGGCCAGCAGGCCCAGTGTTAGCGCCGGTTCCCAGCCCAAGAGTGGCCATTATTCGTCCCAAGGCGGACTAGCGCCTCTTCCCGCTTACAATAGCCCTCCCGGCGCTGTTCTTAAATTTCTTCCCTTCTCTCCTCTCTCTGCATCCCTTTTTGAAAGTGTCCCTTTTTTCTTGACACTCATCCATCTCCTCTCTTTCTTTTCTCAAGAGGTATTACTCTTAGAAACAGTCACAATGGCCAGCCAAAGTGATAAGTCCGTTCTCGGCATGCCCGTAAGTCTCTTCGCACCTCTGCTGCTCCCGGCCAGAACTTCCCGACCACGCGTTCTCGACGAGATATCACTCCAGATTCATCGAAAGAGTATCAGAAGAGTACCAAAAGTGATTTCTCGGCGCTGAATGAGGGGATTGTGAACTATTCTGCGCCCGGCGAGCCTCGTTGCCTTTGAACTCGCGGCTGATGAAAAATTTTCTAGGGGTTCGTCGTCGACTTCCTCAGTATGTCACCTACCGCAAACTCATCCAGCGATCGATCCGCATTGATATTTCATCAATTGTTTCGGTCAATGGCTTGAGACAGATTGATGCTCTATTCGATCGAATACTAACGAGCCTCTAGTGGGTGGTGTTTCCGCTGCCGTCTCCAAGACTGCTGCCGCCCCCATCGAGCGTGTCAAGCTCCTCATCCAGACCCAGGATGAGATGCTCCGCTCCGGTCGTCTCGACCGCAAGTACAACGGTCTTATGGACTGCTTCAAGCGCACCACCGCTGCTGAGGGTGTTGTCTCTCTCTGGCGTGGTAACACTGCCAACGTCATCCGTTACTTCCCTACCCAGGCTCTGAACTTTGCCTTCCGTGACACCTACAAGTCCATGTTCGCCTACAAGAAGGACCGTGACGGATACGCCAAGTGGATGGTTGGCAACCTTGCCTCCGGTGGTGTATGTATCAACTTGCTTAGTTCTCGGAGCAGTCACTAATCAATCGCAGATGGCTGGTGCCACTTCTCTCCTCTTCGTCTACTCCCTCGACTACGCCCGTACCCGTCTTGCCAACGACGCCAAGTCCACCAAGGCTGGTGGTGGTGATCGTCAGTTCAACGGTCTCATTGACGTCTACAAGAAGACTCTCGCCTCCGACGGTATTGCCGGTCTCTACCGTGGTTTCGGTCCCTCCGTTCTTGGTATCGTTGTCTACCGTGGTCTGTACTTCGGAATGTACGACTCTCTTAAGCCTGTCGTCCTCACTGGTTCTCTTGAGGGCTCTTTCCTCGTCTCTTTCGGTCTCGGCTGGGCTGTCACCACTGGTGCTGGTATTGCTTCTTACCCTCTTGACACTGTCCGTCGTCGTATGATGATGACCTCCGGTGAGGCCGTCAAGTACAGCTCTTCCTTCGACGCTTTCCGCCAGATCATCGCTCGTGAGGGTGTCAAGTCCCTCTTCAAGGGTGCCGGTGCCAACATCCTCCGTGGTGTTGCCGGTGCTGGTGTCCTGTCCATCTACGACCAGGTCCAGCTCATCCTCTTCGGCAAGAAGTTCAAATAAGCGTCTCGCCCAAAATGACTGTTTTGTTGGTGTAAGCCTTTTGGGGAAGGGGTTGGCCACCGTCGGGGATAAAACCTCGATGGTGGATGGTGATGGGGATCCTTTAGAAGTATGCGTCAAGCATACAAACTGTGACATTTTCTCTTGTACCAGCTGTACTTTACCGCCTGCAAGCTTTTTCTCTTTTGCCAACTGTATTTTTCTGTTATTCTTCTTTCCCTGTAACCTCCGTAAAACTCGTAAATATCAGGACACGTTTCACCATCACGTGCTGACATGATGATGACGTCGCTCTGGAGATTCTCTTACTCGGATAGGCTGTCTAGATCCTGACCTTCTGAGCTACAACCTACTCCGCACAAGCTCTTAAATAGCATCATGGCCACCGAACAAGTCAATCCCAGCTCGTCTCCGTCGGATATCGAAGAGCAGGACATCCCCCAGACCCAGCCATCCGCTGCTCCAACAAGCTCAACCTCTGCCTCAACCGCAGCAGCACCCTCCTACTCTCCCATCTACGCCACTGCTCAACCCACCAACATGACAGTGCTTGAGGTTCCAACACCAGATATCCCAGGAGACCCAACGACCACAATTGCACCCCCAGAGGCTCTTACTGCTACGTCTACCTCCTCGTCGCCGCCACCACCGCAGCCGGGTGATGTGCCTTTACCTACTTCGATTTCTACAGGTGCCGATCAGCATGGTCAAGATACGGGCAATGGAGGTGGAATCAGGAATGGAAATGAAGATCGCCCTCCTCCTCCAATGCCAGCACCTGTGCCAAAGAGTGGTCTTGCCCCTACGCCCTCAGCAACCCTCCAAACCCAGGACGCAACATCGTCAACGAACTCGAACCCTGATCCTCCACCTGCAATCATAACCGCTGCGCCTGCGTACCCTCCTGCTTCAGAACCAGCTCCAGCTCCAGCTCCTACAGCTACGACTGGGAACATAAACCCAAGTCCGCCACAGCCCCAGACAGCAGCAACGACAACAACGCCTGCTTCGTATAGCCATACACCAGGGCCAGCCTGGTCCAGCCCAAGCCTAAGCCCAGGGACGGCGGCAGGGGCAGGGTATAACTACACACCCAACGCAACCCCCGGCCCGGGCTATAGCTACCAGCCGCAGCCGCAGCAACAGCAATACCCAATCCAAACGCCAAACTCTACCACAACGCCCTACGGCTCAGTGTATACTCCGCCTTCAGCATCCACATCGACAACACTCCCGCTGCATACCTCCGGCAACGCCGACAGCTTCCACTCAGGTGGCGACGGCGGCGGAGGTGAAGACGGACTTTGGGGGAGCACGAAATCGTGGCTGCAGAGCGCGGGGAATAAGCTTGCCGAGGTGGAGGCGGAGGTTTGGAGGCGGATCAACGAGGCGCATGATGGTGATAAGTAAATGAATATGTAAGGTGGGTGGCGCGGATCTCGGTATCTATTTTCGTATGTCTGTGTACATCGTGTCCTGTATTCGGTTGCGGCGTTTGGGTTTATGCAAAACTTGGGCTAGCTAGGATGGAAAATTGGGGTTCAGGTAGGTATTACAGAGTAAAGGTCAGGATGAAATATACATACGGAGTTCTACTCTAATGAGGCTGGCTAGGACGTGGTCAGCAATGTTGTCTGAGTGTTGTACAGCAACTTATATGTCTTCATACGTATCCATCTCGGATAGGTCCGCAGCACGGTATAATTACACTACGATGTTAGATCAGACGTAGGCCATTCAATGATGATTTCTAAGTCTATTCAAATCCCTCGTTGAGTGGGATTTCGGATTCCAATGAATTCCTGATTCTGTCAAAACCATCCATAAGTATGGTAAGGACACCATGGAGTTGATATATACTAGTTGCACAGCTAAGTGAACCAGTAAGATCGAAAGATACAGAGTGGCGAGCGCAGTATATTTATAACTCAACGCCGGAGCTACTGCATGCCCGTGCGTGGTATATCGAAAGAAAAAGAAAAGACTGCAATGCGTGGTGACCTGTGCTTTCCTGCGCTCGAGGCCAGTCCCGGTCGGTCACAAATGAAATCAAAAGGGTGCAATGTGTGATGGAAAACGCCATAATCCCAGCCCAACCGAGTTCCGTTCCAATCCCAATGCAAATGCTTCCAGAGCCTCGAGCCGGTCGAGTAGAAGTAGTCTTCGGCGCCTGGAGCGGTCTTGAAAACTAAGTGATGAGTCGTAGAATCGTGAATATATATGTTGAAGAATGGCCTAGCCCAATAAAAGCAAAAATAGCAGGTAATGCCGGTAGCCTGCGTCCAGAACGCCTGATATGATGATGCATGGTAGGTATTACATAGATCCAAGTCGTAGTAGGGCCTCGACCGCAGCTCGCTCCTGACTGTCGGGCACCGAGAAGCCAAGCTGCTGGATGGGAACTGCGCGCGGTGCGGATTTGGCGAGGGACGACGAAACAGGTCCGCCACCGTGGAGCTGTGGCGGAAGTCTGCCGTTCACGAAACCTCCCCCTCCGTTCATAGATCGCACGCGGAGTTCCGCAGCGCCTATCTGTGCCCAATCCTCTTCGTCTGTGACGTCTTCTTCGCCCCAATCCCCGTCAGGAATCTCGTCATCTGGGGCAGGGGATGAAGAACAGTATTCGCGGTCCATTCCGTCTAGAGACATTTTATCGGCCTCATGCTCCAGCATGTCGTCGCGTCCACCGAATTCCATTTCGGTGTACGAGAAAACAGCAGAGTCTGCCACGCTGGAGCTGCAAGGGTACAAGCTATCCCTTCTCGGAATCTGCACGCCTCGCTGGTAGGTATCGGACAAACTCGAAGGGGGCGACATCTCGTGCCGAGGCGAATCTCGAGACGGTTCACCGCGGCGACGCGCATCCCAACGACCCCATCCGACCTTTTCATAGACAACCTCACTCTTATCGTCACTTCCTCGACCTTCCAGCGCGGCGACGACTAGTCTCCTAGCTTTCGCAGGGGGTATGCCAGAGAAACCAGGAACCGAGGTGGTCAGGTAGCCCATGACATGGCGGATTGCCAGGGGGCCATGCTGAAGCAAAATTTCAGGCAAGTGGTACTTGGCCAGCATGCCCGGGGTAATCGCTCCGGCGACCTCAAGGCTGGCGGCAGTCGCATCGCGCCGGCTCGAGTTCGCGTGATCAGCGGAGTCGCCAAGATCGATATCCGAGTCGACGTGGGATGTCGCAAGAGGGGGCGACAGAAGGGCGCCGGACTCGCGTGCCCGGAAGCCGTGAGGAGGAAGGTTAGGGGAGATGGAGTGGGGAGGAGTGGGGAGCATAGTAGGGCGACCGGAGCGCGGTTTGGGGATATCAACAGAGGCCGTCTTGCCGGCAAGGGCCATAGCAATACTGGAAACGGGAGTCTGAGTAGCCATGATGTCGAGGAGAAGAAGCTGGCCTCGCGACTGCTGGTGGCTCAACTAACTGTTATCGCATGAGTCAGAGCCAAGCGAGCAAACCAGGGCTGAGGGTACAAAGGAGGATGACTAATTTCGCCGATAGGGCAAGACAAAGAAACAGGGCGTCCAGAAGGGAAAGAATAGGGTATAGAAAGCAGAAAGTTTAACTCACAGTAGAAATGTGATAGATGGCAGGGGCTGAGACTTGCAGGAGTCCCGTATAGTCCTGGCTGGCAGTGGGTTCCTGAGGCAGAGCAATGCGATGCGATGCGACGCGCGGGAGATAAGCGACGCGATGGTGGTGAACCTCGAAGTGATCAGAGTAGAACAGCCTTGGAAGCGAGTAGGAACAATGGTAACTGAATCGAATAGTTGTTATTGTTATAGAAGTAGAGGAAAGGGAGAGAGGGGAGGGAGAAGGGGGAAGGGGCAGCCACTACTAGGCAATAGTCGTCATGAGTGTAGAATGCACTGTCAGAGCCCGTCAGTCAGCTGGATCATGGATAAATTACTGTATTACGCTTATTTTTAGGCGCCTTATCAGTTAATCCAAGATAATTATTATGAGAGTTATCCCACGCGTGGCCGAGTCGATTGGCCAGGGATGGCATTCCCTGCGGAAGGACTCGGAGACGGCGATCATTCTGTACAGGTACAGATCCAGAGTGTAGACTACTCCGGAGTAGACTTTCAGGGAAGATCGATGATGTCGTCGCACAGTGAGACTTTGGCTGCTCTTATTCCACCGACGTTCCCCACCGCTCCCGAGGGCCGCCATTCCCAGTAGGGAGTCTGTTCAAATTTGTATGGTAATGTACATACAATTCGTAACAACGCTCCTACTGGGGCTGGTCTTTGTTGGGACTTGGGAGATCTCAAATTTCACTAAGTCAGCCGCGCGAAGAAGAACAGTGGCCGTCGAGGTACTGGTACTTAGTTTTCTATAAAGATTTATATACAAATCAAAGTACCTGCACTTATAAAGCTATAAGGTCTATTTGCGCGAAGGAGAATATACCATTAACGCGCTGGTCCTTTGTAAGGCTGTCGACGCGTTGAAGGGCTGTTAAAGTGCAGATACTTTATTTTCTATAGGGAATTGCATACAAATCGAAGTACCTGTATTTGCGAAGCTATTTGGAGGTCTATCCGCGTGGTGTTAGGCTAGGAATAAGGCTGTCGACGCGTTGAAGAGCCATTGAAGTACAGGTACTTTGTTTTTTATAGGGAACTGCATACAAATCGAAGTACCTGTATTTGCGAAGCTATTTGGAGGTCTATCCGCGTGGTGTTGGSCTAGGAATAAGGCTGTCGACGCGTTGAAGAGCCATCAAAGTACAGGTACTTTGTTTTCTATAGGGAACTGCATACAAATCGATGTACCTGTATTAGCGAAGCTATTTGGAGGTCTATCCGCGTGGTGCTTGGCTAGGAATAAGGCCGTCGGCGCGTTGGTGAGGCCGTTGACGTGCTGGTACTTGGTTTTCTATAGGGAATCGCATACAATTTGAAGTACCTGTATTCGTGAAGCT